TTTAATCAGCCCTATCAAAATTCTTGGTTCAATGCCTTAAGACACTGTTGCTTGTTCAACTTATCATTTTACACTTCTATATTAACATTTTGCAAATTCCAGATGTTCTTTTGGTCAAAATACACCCAGGTATGGCAGTGTCATTATAGCACTTCAATACAATTCAAAGAAATGGCTTTGTGCTGATACATCGTTTGCTAATGGGAATATAAAATGATATACTTAGGCTTTGGATTGTGAAAAATAATTCATGCATACAGAAAATATATAATACTTAAATTACATTTATTATATACCTTCTAGAAAATAAATCAAATTCATCACTGTTCGTTCCCATGGCTTGCCTTTGTTGACAGGTTGATAGATGACTGAATTAATGTCTGTTGTGTGGATTTAGCCCCAATTTACACTGCATCTGTTTATTTCAAAAAGATTATAAATGAACACATCTAATTCTAACCATACAGATGTTCTAGATTAAATGATCTTTAAAGAGGCACTCTAAACTAAGCCATTATAGCTTGCTGTAATGAATGTCGCCCAGAGTTTATGGGAGTTAAAGAATAGATTTGTTTATGGAGAAATAAGTCTCATAGAATTCAGCTACAAACTTGACTCTGTTTAAAGGGACAGTCCAGACCCGTTAAGCAGTTCAAACATACTGAAGTGCTTTATACGTGAAGAGTGCCCTCTTTGAGTTCAGTTTTCAGTTTTGTCACTTTTAGAAATTAACCTGGTTACACCCCTCTCCCCTCCCCTCCCCAGCTGTCAATCAGATACAGGCTCTGTTACTTCCTGGTTGTTTAGCTCAGTGGAGCTAAACTCAAGAGGCAGGAATTGTAAAGACTTCTTATTTAGCTGCACTGTGAAGTCTGTGATTGGGCAGCCACACAAAGTCTAGGCTGAGGAGGAGGGGGGCTTGTACAGACTTCACACAAAAGATCTGCAGTTTTTGCAAACTGTTTATACATAGAACCCCAATGAAAAAAGCATTATTACAGGTAGATGCATATTTTAATTGGGTACATATTTATTTAAAAATAAGTTATGTCCCTTTTACGTTATTACATTAGCGTAGGTGGGAGTGTAATGCTGCTTGCTGATAACCAAGCAATGACAAAGAAGGATGAAAGGTAAAAAAAACAACATGCAAAATAGTTTGAAGACAAGAAACAGAACAAAACACTAAACATCAAACATCCAAGTGGTAAAGGTGATTAAATGCCTGTGTGTTGAATTGCTAGTGCACACATCTAGGCACTGTTCCCAGGTAAGCAGTCTATTTTACTACGAATTATTAACACTTACTTGGGTCTCACCAAGCGCATGCATCCAGCCTGCTTCTTTAGGATGATCGGGTTAGCGCTACAGAATTAAGTAAGGGTGTGCAGGATCATCATAATTTGGTTAAAGGGACACTATAGTCACCTGAACAACTTTAGCTTAATGAAGCAGTTTTGGTGTATAGAACATGCCCCTGCAGCCTCACTGCTCAATCCTCTGCCATTTAGGAGTTAAATCCCTTTGTTTATGAACCCTAGTCACACCTCCCTGCATGTGACTTGCACAGCCTTCCATAAACACTTCCTGTAAAGAGAGCCCTATTTAGGCTTTCTTTATTGCAAGTTCTGTTTAATTAAGATTTTCTTATCCCCTGCTATGTTAATAGCTTGCTAGACCCTGCAAGAGCCTCCTGTAGGTGATTAAAGTTCAATTTAGAGATTGAGATACAATTATTTAAGGTAAATTACATCTGTTTGAAAGTGAAACCAGTTTTTTTTTTCATGCAGGCTCTGTCAATCATAGCCAGGGGAGGTGTGGCTAGGGCTGCATAAACAAAAACAAAGTGATTTAACTCCTAAATGACAGTGAAATTGCAGGGGAATGATCTATACACTAAAACTGCTTTATTTAGTTAAAGTAATTTAGGAGACTATAGTGTTCCTTTAAGATCATCATCCAAGATTGGAAGCATGGGCTGTGGCTAGCTAGCTCGCTGTAGTGATTATGGTAATTTGTAAGACTCACACTGGAAGCGGTGGATGTGGCTACAGGTGGCTGGTTGGCTATAATAGTAATGGTACTTTGAGTATTCCTTTAAGCAAACCCTTCAATTTTCAAGATTCACACTCCAGGAGACCTTTCTTCAAGAATAGCTGAGGTGAATGAGATTTCAATGTTTGTTACGGTTATATTTAGTTTTCTGTCCACAGTGCCTTAGAAATACAAACCATGATTTTCATTAGACCCCTTCCTTTGTTCTGAAGCATTAGGAAGTTTTTCCACTTAAATAGGAAAATAGATTTTTGTGGTCACTGAAATATGCTGACTGATTTCAACAAACTAAGCATTGCCCGTTATGTGCTTGCTACAAAGGTTACTATTTAGAAAAACACCCACAGCCAACTTATTTTGACCCGTTTTCCATGTTCGTCAGTAATCATACTATCAGCTCCATTTTACCAACAGGTTTACATGATGTACTTAACCCCTTAAGGACACATGACATGTGTGACATGTCATGATTCCCTTTTATTCCAGAAGTTTGGTCCTTAAGGGGTTAAGGGACACTACAGTCACCAGAACAACTACAGCTTATTGAATTTGTTCTGGTGAGTAGAATCATTACCTTCAGGCTTTTTGCTGTAAACACGGTCTTTTCAGCCTAGTGATAACTTCACTGGCCACTCCTCAGATGGCTGTTAGAGATCCTTCCTGGGCCATGGCTGCCTAAAATGTATCTAAACATTTAGTATATCCTCCCTCTGCATGCAGACACTGCACTTTCCTCATAGATATTCATTGATTCTATTCATCTCTATGAGGAGATGCTGATTGGCCAGGGCTGTGTTTGACTTGTGCTGGCTCTGCCCCTGATCTGCCTCTTTGTCAGTCTCAGGCAATCCTATGGAGAAGCATTGTGATTGGATCAGGCTACCCCTTCTGATTATGTCAGCAGACTGCTTGTTTTTCCTGAGTCTAACAGCATGCAGAGGCTTACAGTAAGATTTTTTTACTATATTTATGGAGGCATGAGGGGCTAGATGGTGGTTTTAACACTATAGGGTCAGGAATACATAGTGATCCTTTATGAAGTCGACATCTGGATGTTATAGTGGCTTTCTTCACTGGTGCAGTACAATACTTGGTGTTTACCATTTTACCACTTGGACTTCGGTCAAGAAAAATGGTTTTATATATTCCACCAGGACACTATAAAAAGGTTTGCCCACTGCATGTACACTTTGTGCAATCAACTATCCCTCAATGTTTTCAATAAAGGTCTTTGAAATTTGGCATCAGATGTATGCAGAAATTTGTTGTTTTTTTTTAACACACTGCCCAAGAAGAAGAATTTTCTCTTAGTTTAAGCAAGCCGTAGAATACGTATATGTTTTAGAGCTTGTATAGATTTAGCAATTCTGTGAATGACCTTGTAAAAAAATTTCAGTAGCACTTAATTACCAGTTTCTAAACTTTAATTCCTGTAATTTGGAAACGGTCAGTGAGATTACCAAAGTGATGGTAAATGACTGCAACAAGTAATGAAACAATCTTTATGTGACTATAAAATGTAGAATATAAAGAAACTCATTAAATGAATCAAGTTTAACACAGGGCATTTAAGTATCTAGAACCAGTAAATTTGATCCATGAAACTACTACTCTGAAATACATCAATGACGCTGTAACTGAAGTTTTATTTGATAAAGTGTTTCCAGACTAGATTATTTTTCTTATTCATTGTGAACTATTTGTTTTACTATATATGAATGTTTAATTATACCTTTAAATTAACTCAATATAATATGAAATTACTATATCAGGGAGACTACAGTTATCTTTAGAAAATGTTACTAGTTTGCCCTTATAGTCTTGATTTTATTATTACTCAACTGAGCAGTACTCCTTGTATAAACCATGAAAGCATGAGGAGTTGGAATAACATGTATGGAAAAACTTGCTTGTTTGAAATAGGTTCTAGAGAAATTGTGAATATATCAGAAAAACTCCACGTTATGTCACAACCCCTCATTTATTGAAGTATGCCTGAAGCAATTTGGATTTCTTTTGACCCCTGTATTCAACTCCTTGGGGAACAAACAAAAAAAGAAAATGCAGAATCCTGCCGTTGGGAATAGGATATTTGCTGCAACCCTCCCCACAGGTGCACAGAAACCAATACCTGCACTTGGAGATGTCGGTGGCAGATTATATTGTCATTTAGTGTGAGTGTACTTACAGAGATTGGATTTCTGACAGAGTATCGTCCTTGTAGGGAATGAGGATGGTGTCAAGTCAAATTATATGAAAAATTAGTATGTTAAAAGAACATAATGTCAACTTTGGGGGACTGTAAATCTCCAGCCTTGTGCTTTATATTCTCTTCAGAATACTAAGGTGGCATTTTCCTATCATATACGGCTTGCCATTATGTAAAAATAAAAGAATAATTTGTTTGAGTATGTAACAATAAGAAATTAAATTTTTTCAGACAAATAAAACAAAGAGACTTTTTTTTTTTTTCAAATGTTATATTTAAAATAGGTTTGTATAAACAATTGTAATACTACACACGGTAGTATTATAATACAAAGCATTTATTTTCATTATATTCTGTACTTTAAACTGTTAAACTTTATTATAAATTAAATGTCTTCACAAAGAAAAAAATTGCACATAGTAATTGACCACTCTTCGGTTCTGATGCACTGGCATTTGTAATAGAGATTTTTTTTTTCTTCAAGTTTAACAGTCTCTGCTTAGAGTCCAGAATGCAGAAATGTGAAACAAACAAAACAATACGTATATATAAAAAAAAATATAGATATATATTATATATATCCCTCAAGTGCAGTTAGCAGACTGACGGCCCCGACAGCTATATTTTTTTTGTAACGACCCGCTGCTTTTGCTTTAACTTCAACAAGAATCATAGCCCTCCCACTCTCCATTTTAAATTACCAAATTTAGAAGAATTTGTATTAGATGTAGGTTGCTTATGGGTCATAAGCAACAGCATCATTTGCTAATCCCATACTTGGGGTCTCACAGGCATCAGTGAGAGAGTCAAGCAAGTTAGAAAACAGCACAACAAATGGGGTTTGCAAAATAAATGGATAGGGGGTAGGGAAGAAAATAAACACAGACAGACAAACAATAAAACAGCAGTCACTGTGATGTACTATACTTACGTACATGATGTAAAGAGAACCTTGCTGAGCCTGGAAGCAGGCAAGAGTTTGGAATTCTCTTCTCCAGTCTGCGAAAAGCAGTATATATGACCGCCGGGTAACAGAAAGCATTGGTGAATCAGGAGAGATCTGCCTCACACAGATTTAAAGGTACCAAACTAATCTTGATGTTTTTGGCAATTAAGAATTGGACATTGGCCTGACTGCACCCAGTGTTCAGCGATTCTTGCTTTCTGTGTTTAAATTTAAGAGCTCATCTAGGCTGACTCCAACCTCTTGGCACTTGGAAACTAGTTTTCTCAGGTTATCACTTTTACCTCCTTCTGATGCGTCAAACAAGAGTTGCTGCAAAAGATGGGGGAAGCACACGTGATTAGGCCAGTGTCTGAGAAATCACAATGGATATGGCACACAGATATAAGACACATAGAACCCAATTAGAAAGAACGGGTGAAAACATTACATCTTTCCAGAGAGTAGCACACAGAGGCAACGTCTGAAGGGCTCTTTGATACAGCTGATGGACCTGGTAAGAAGTAAAAAAAAATTGAGGGAGGGGGAGAAAGAAAAAAAAAAAAAGAAAAAAAGGAAAAAATATATGGTCAACTAGTGGCAGTGTAGAACATAAGACAGCATTCCGATCAAACAACTGCAGTAGATTACAAACAAATCTTGGCGTGATACTTCAATTTTCTCAAAAGTTTATAATGCATATATTTATACTCCAAAAATAGGTCAGTGCGAATGTGCGATACAGTCAAATAATATCCAATACATTTTCTGCAACTCATCTAACCAAAATTGCTTATACAGCATCTGTCGCCCACCGCCATTCCAAAATATAAAAATATCAATGCAATATAAAGTTGGATGTTTTTTCTAGACTTTTGATCAAGAGTACAAAGGCTTACCTCTTTCTGCCCCTTTATGAAGGATTCCACAGCGATGGCTCTAAGGATACACAGTAACATAAAATAAAAAGAGACATAGTAAGATATCTGTATGGTATATACTTATATAGAATAGGTGCCTATAGCAGAAAACCTCGATTCCCTGATTAAATGGCTACAATGATACATATAATAAACGTTACATAAGACTATCTACACAGCAAGCCAGATGATGGTAAAATTCCCTTACAATGAATATTCATACAATAGACGTGAAACCCTGACCCTATAGAATAAATTAATAGATTTACCTGAAAGCTACATAATAGATAAATATATATATTACAGTTAATTTTGTACATTACATTTTCCAGATGGGCAGGCACATTGGGAAGATATATGTAAACATCTTGGATTGCATTTTCACAATTTCAATACTGTTCTCCTCCATCTCTTGTTTAAGTACCCTAGAAACAAATAAAGGTACAACGTGAATATATAAAAAATAAGTTTCTTTTTATAATACAGAATTTTGATATAGAGCTACATATATTCACATCTATCAGCGTCTATCTGCGCATTTGTCTGTCGACAACAAAGAAGAATCATGTTTGGAGCTCTGTTTACATACAGTATCAAGGCGAACTAGTGAATTAAAAGATTACATACTTTAAGCTAACATGTTCTTCACAAATTGATAACCGGTTCGATTCAGATATATTAAAACAATACACTTTCTGGCAGCTATGCCAGCAGTATCTAGATTTAAAAAAATAAATAAAAAGTTTTAGAAATGTTCCAGCACATGTTCCAGATTTCTGACAGTGATCTGTGTCAGCCTGTTATTTCTGAAGTCTAAAGTGCCTAATAGAAAGAGCCTGTGGTCCTTAGACAACTCAAATTCTTAATTTGTGGCTGAAACAAATATTAACCCACCTGAGCGCAAGGCCAAGATTTGAAGGCATCATGGAAGAAAAGCGTTCCAATATTTTGGAATGTTGTGCCTTTGGAACACAACTTAAATAAAAGTATATGACCTGAGAATAACAAAAGAAAGGTAAGACAACCCAATATGTATGAATACTTAAGAAATTACCAATATAAAAGATATATCATTAGGGCTCATTAGCATACATAAACAATGATCATTTTCATATCAATTGCATTTTCTTTGAAATATCACACAGAATTTAAGATCAGTTTAACACTCTAAGGAGAGAAAGCCTATAGGAACCCAGGCCCCTAAACAACTTTATTGAAATAAAGTTATGGAGCTGGAATTGGGACAGAATGTTCCTTTAACCACTATAGAACACTGTATTGGTCATGGACATTAGACTTAAGCTTACAATTTTGGGGGAACTGCTAATCAGTGATGCCAAATGAGGATAACTGTAGAATTTATTATATAATATTTGTGCATTAGCCATATAATATATAAGGAAAAAAACAAGTTTAAAAATTCAGAAGGCCGTTCTTTAAAAGCAACTACAAAAATTATACACTGTTGGAATGGAAAGGATTTTCAAAAAAATGCTATGAAAATTATTAAACAAAAAGATATTTTCTAAAATAGTGTTAACAAAAACACCTCAGTCTTTGTATAAAAGACTAACCACACAAGTTAGTTCATACTATTTCAGCATTCAAAATTTTAACTGCTGAAATAAATTGAAGAATGAAGCATACTAATTGGAGGAGATAGAACAAAGATCTTGAACAGGAGATAGACAAATCCCCCCAAAATTTGCATTCATGGGATGACCGCTTCAGGAAAGAAAAGCATCCACATACCTTATTGTGAAACTCATAGTTGGTCCAGTAATCGGCTGTGCTAAAAGGGGTGGGAAATCGTGTAGGAACAGTCAACAGACATCTGTTAACGAGATCTGTAAAATGTTTGCTGTCTTGAGCCTTATTTTTGGATGTGTCAATCTTTCTGTTAGTAAAGACAAGATAACTGAAAAGAAAAGGATAGCCAGTAAATTATTTTGCAATGTTTTGGGTGTTACTCGTTGCCCATTGTAGTATCAGAAACTAAGACTACTTACTCCATCCAAAGTTTCTCAAGTACATCCTGCTGCATTACAGACCCCAGTGCCGTTTCATACACATTTTCTGCGCCAGCGTTCCCTGGAAGAAGGGTCTTCCATAGACTGTTGGTAAGAAAGTTAGTTTCAAAAACAACCAAACTTTGGTAGAATAATGCACAAAAGCAAACTTGCCTATTTAGTACAAGGCTGGGTAAAGTGATACTTGATTGAAATGTTTTATTAAAAAGTTTATTAAAAAGTGTTTCACATAGGAAAATAAACATGTGTGGCTTTAAATAAATCAATGTTTGACAGACAAGATAATAAGAAGGGGTGCTTACCAGAATACAAGCCACAGGTATGGTTTTTGCATAGCTGAAATGTCAACTGATTCATCTGGCTTACATGCTGGTGTCTGAGAGTTCAATGGATTTGTGAAATTCAAAAGAGAACTAACACGAAAGAAAAAGTTAAGCTATGTTAGCATCTCATAAAACAACTATTACATTTAACTCCAATACAGCCCACAAATTCAATATCCCTGACTATAGGAAAAGTAAACAGCTCAAAAAGGACACCCCTGACACCTACACAATGGCAATGATTTATATGTTTTGGCATAAATACTGCTCTGATATTTAACCTCTCCCACCACAGAAAGTGTGCAGATTAGCAGATTTCTGGGTATGATTAATCTCATTGGTAATATTGATATTCATATTTATAGTTTTAGCAAAGCGTTAAACCGCTCCTGATTCAGAAAGTCTGGACTTTAATTGAGAGAGAGATAAATATTAGGTCAACTGAAGTCCAGACTTACTAAATTTAAATGATAAAGCCTGTTTTAAGGAAAAGGACAAAAGACAAACCACCCCACCCTCCAAAAACCACAAGATGTCTGTGACCTGGTCATTAGTCACACATCACACAACAGTGAGATTCCAGGAGTAGCCAATGACAAGATAAGTTTACACAAACATTTGCTGTATGATTTAAAATTAAACTAGAACCCACCTCAGAATTTCTGCAGGATTACGCTTCTCCTGCTTGATCTCCGTGTCATTACAAAATGATTGTACAAACTGCAGCATTAGGGAGGGAATGAGACCAGAATGACCCTGAGAGAAAAATATGAATGAATAGAATATAATGGAAACCAAAACACATTATTGACTTCACCCATAGAAAATTAGCCACGTGGTCAAAATACAAAGCTGGTCTAGAAAAGGAGAACAAAAAAAATGTGTATGTGCCGAAAAATACAAATCAGGGTTATTTAATATTTCTGAATTTTTGTAAATTACAATTGACTGGTAAAATGGAGGCAAAAATAGCCAAGTTGTGAATATGTATGGGACAAGAGTAAAAAAAAAATAAAAAAAAAATGGTTCTAAAGCCACTATTTTTGCCTCTGTTTTTTCAGAACCTAGTTTGCAAAAATTCTGAGTTTAAGGGATAACCCTGAATGAATATGCCAAACGTACTTACCTGTGCAACAAGGAACTTGCAGCCATGATAAAAAACCTGTGCATTTCCTGGACTATTCTTGAATGCAGGAAGCCAAACGTCGATCCCACTCTGAGACTGGCCCATCTTCACATACACTGAACACAGCAAGTCTAGGATTTCACAGTTATCACCAGAAAATTCCAGCAATTCTTTGCAGAGATTCAGTGCTGCATCGGGACTTAAAAATAAATATATATGTATATATTTTTTTAAGTATATGTATATATTTTTTTATACATAAATATTGCATGTATTAACAGAACTAGTCAAAGGCCAAAATTCAACACGAAAACTTACCTGTTTGTAAGAAGATGCAACGCAATCATATTTTTATAAAGTGGTAGACAAACTTCAATTCTCTGCTTGGTAGTCAAGTTTTCATCTGAACATGAAGATACAGCAGCTAATAATGTTGACAGAAACAGAATAAGATTAGAATATTTTTTTAATAATTTTAATAAGCCCTGTGTGAGCAGAAGTCTCAGGGAGCAGTTTCATTTGAATGGATAGTATTTATCATACACATATCTGCAGTCGGCTCTGTACATGGATGACGGTAATTAAAAAAGGATGAACAAGGGGGACAAAGGGGAGAAAGGAGCGGAGGAGGGGACAAAGGGGAAAGGAGCTTAGGAGGGTGGCAAAGGGGAGAAAGGAGCCGGAGGAGGGGGGGGCAAAGGGGAGAAAGGAGCAGAGGAGGGGGCAAAGGGGAGAAAGGAGCTGAGGAGGGGCAAAGGGGAGAAAGGAGCGGAGGAGGGGGGCAAAGGGAGAAAGGAGCCGGAGGAGGGGGGGGCAAAGGGAGAAAGGAGCGGAGGAGGGGGGGCAGAAAGGAGCGGGCAAAGAAAAGGAGCCGGAGGAGGGGGCAAAGGGGAGAAAGGAGCCGAGGAGGGGGGCAAAGGGGAGAAAGGAGCGGGGCAAAGGGGAGAAAGGAGCGGAGGAGGGGGGCAAAGGGGAGAAAGGAGCGGAGGGGGGCGCGAAGTGTAAAAACGGGGCTATATATTTTTTCATTACGTACATATGAAAAAATTAAAAAAATAAATTACAAAAATAAATAAATAAATTCTGGGACAGAAGTAATAAAAAGCAGTCCCTTCAAGTATAACTAACGAAAAGTTAGTACTTGCCACAATTGAATACCTTTTACCTTGGTATTACATGTGCTCATAAGGTGATACACACAACAATAATAAACCACTGAATTTTGGGAGAAAAAGGAAGAGAAAAAGAGAAGCAATTGTGGCACAAACCTTCAAACACAGCAAGCAGCATAGCTGGTTCAGTGATAATACTTTGGGGAGTTGTCCAAGGTATTAAAAATGGTTCCTTGTTAACCATTCTGGAGGGGTTGCTGTTAGATGGATCGTAGAATGTAGCAGGTAGACAGCTAAACTCCATGAGGTGAATGTAGGAAAGCCATGCTAAGCAGCGATCCTGTGGGGTGAGGTAATCGCCAATGCTTTTCTTGTCAGGTGACTTTAAAGCATTCTGAAAAGCACATAAGAATACATGGAAACCATTTAAGACACCAATAAATAAAAAATAAATAAAAAATAGATAAAACCCTGAGAATGTGGATATTAAAGAAAATCAGATGGAAAATAAAGAATTCAAAATATTAGCCATACTTTTACCCCCTGCCTCCACCCAAGGCAAATTCGCAAACAACTAGTAACATGGAAAGCATGTATGCAGACAGGAATCCATTAGTTACACTTCTCTGAAACACAATTCCATAGTAATATATAATGTCACTCACTGTAACCCCCAGCTGCAGGTGACTTTACTGCAGGCTAACCCTTTAATAAACACATGACTGGCTTAGACCTTATTCAATAACGGAGGGTTCCCTCAGTCAGTTGGGGCCACAATTATTAACAACAGGCTGACAGATGAGCTGAAGAATTCCGAGCTTACAGGAGACAGAGGCAAACCCCAGAGTCTGAAAGAACCTTGGTCAGGTATCCCAGGATGCCTCATACTGATCGGCACTGGGCTGTGCATGCAGCCCAGCACCGACCCCTGCGTTATCAGCAGGAAAAGCAGTAGCTTTGAAGGGAAATCCCCCTCTCATGCTGTGACCCAACAGTACAGAGCCGTCTGTACTGTATAATCTGCGAAATTCCTCTGGTGGCAGCAGTAGAGGGAATCCCTTTGAGGTACTGTTAGAGGTTTAGAGCATTACGGTTGGGGTAAGGGTTTGGAGCTGGTGTTAGGGGTAAGATTAGTTCTAGAAATAGAGCCAATGTTTAATGTCGGAGAGTCCACGCTATAATGCAGCAAAAAAATAAATAAATAACTTTCACCTAGCAAACTATAGGTATATAGACGGCTATAGCTAGCTTAGCAAAAAGATGTAAACATTAGGAAGAAGAAAAAAAAAAAAAAGCTTAGTTAAGGCTCACTGTTTTTTTTGGAGGAGCATGCATAAACACAAACGTTTCAGGATCTTTTGTCACTATCAATGCAACATTGAATGCCCTTCAAAGTTTCACATTGCTTGATACTGTAACTTTACCAAATCACACTGAAGTGCCAGTAAGACCACCTGACAGTTTTACTCTATTTCATGAAAGCACCTCTGGGGCAGGTTAACCTTGGAAAGAAAACAGTGCCATCCTTGCAGAGGATGGGTGGCTATAGTATTCCTGTTATCAGCATGTAAAATTTTGTAAATGTTTAGCATTAAAATTTACTCCTTACAATACTTGTTCTTTAACCTGTAAAACTAAATTGTAAAAATGCCTAATATGGCTAGATTTTAGAGTTATTTTTCTTTATATTTAATAAAGTTACATTTATTGTGTAAAAATTATTAAATTCCATTTAAGGATTTTTTAAGAAAATTTATATGTCTCTGAAATTGCAGTAAGGCACTGAAATGTGACCTTTTGTTAATGGCAGTTTTCTTCTTGTCAGGACGAGATAGGTGTAAGTATCAAAACAAAACTATGCCAACTATGTGCTTTAATGACCAGATAAAAGTGAAAAAAAAATGTAAAGATTACTATCTAGATACGTAGATCAAAAATGCCGTAAACATGATCATTTGGTTTAATTAATCATATATACCTGCAAAAGAGCCAGAGCATTTTGCAGCCGTCCTGAGAACAGGCTGAGATGTATGTGGTAGAGTAATGTCTCCAGGAGCTGCAGAGATAGCTGTTCCGATTCCTTTTCTTCCTCCAGTCTCCACATGAGATACTGCAATATTTTACTGCACACTGAATCCTTTCCATTAAAGGAACACTCCAAGGTCAAGTACTGAAGAAAAAAAAGCAAGAAATAAATGAAAAAATAAACACACAGTGACCGCTCTGTTCTTGGGTGGGCTACAGAAAGGCTGGGACACATCTTTCATACAGAAACCACAACACAATTTTGTCCCATGCGTTTTGGATGGGATTTAGGACCCTCACTATACCAGACAGAGAGCTAACCTTAAAAGGGTTATTCAAGCACCATAATGATGCTTGGAATCTAAATCTGCACCTTGTGGCCACGTGTATTTCTACTTACTGCAGCATTGTGTACGGAGACTTAAGTCTGATAAGATTAGTTTTGTGCATAGTTTTCGTCCGCTGTCAGAAAGCATAGCATTCTGGTGACATGTGACAAACGGTGGTGTTACCTTCTCCCTTCAGTTCTGCTTTAACTCCTCCCTCAGGCGGACATTCTTATATTCTCCGTGCATTGAGAGGGGGGAGGGGGGAACTAAGGGGTGGTTTTCAGTAAAGTTATCACTCACTTTTACCCAGGGCATGCTGAAACCATAAAACTTACGCACTGACTACCACCATGTATCAATTGTAAAAACCATGTATGCATTGTGCTGATAAAATTTAGATTACAAACATTTAAAAAGAGAAAACTCACAGTCCACCAAACTTGATATGAAGGGGCATATTCTACAGCAGTCTCGCACATCTCCTGACATTCTTCCTTGGTTCCCCTTTTGGAGAAGAGTTTGAGGTAATGACACCATATTTCCGAATTTCCTCTATTATATTCCAGGGCTCGGGACAGAACGTTCAATGCTGAATCTAAACACTCAGAGGGGGTGCTGTTTAAAAACAAAACAGCTATTTGTGGCTTTGAAGAATAAATGCCAAACATCCATTTCATAATTCCACTACTACATAATATGTAAACTATGGCAGCAGACTACAGATATATAATGATTTTCTGTTACAGATAATAAGGAAATAACCATAGAGAAGTTGCAAAGAGTATCACATTTTTGCACTGCATATTTTATATTCCTGAGAAAGGTTCAAGTTGACATTTGGTGAAATACCATGTTACTGATAAAAATGGCATTAAGTTATGAAAGCTTAAACTACGGTAATAAGAGACATCAACTCTGAACTGCCAACATTAAAAACAAAGATATCAACTGGGTAACATTTCAAGAATAAAAAAAGAACCTTGACCAGACACCTTTCTCAATTTATCATCTGCAAAGATCCTACTCTTTATAACATGCTTCTTAAACAGCAGTAAAGTGATATGGTTGGGATTTTGGTGAAGAGGAGTAATTTGTTTTAAGAATTGGATAAAACTGTTAAAGATTGTGTTAAAGTAAATAAGAAGACTGAAAGATTTACAGCTTAAGCTCAAGTTGTTTTGGTGACTATAATGTCCCTTTAAGATAAAAAAAATATATCAAATACTAGCAAAATCAGACTGCTATTATAGGAACAAACCACCAGCTTTTACATCAGCTTGGTAAATGAATGTCCTGCACTACAATGTATCCAAAAGAAATTTAATTGGGATATAAAAACATACCTATGAATGGCAAAGGGGAGGGCAGATTTAACATAGCATAACTTGCTAATAAATAAATCACTGAACAATGAAATTTGTATTTGAAAAGAAAACACCTACCATTCATTCTGATTTAAATACTTGAATGCCAACTTGATCCACAATTGTATGTCATGAGTGTTTTCAAGTACACTAGCTTCTAGATTGGCAATGTCATCGGTCTCGTTTGTGAAATAACGAACATCTTCTGGAGTTACAACAGCATCTTGAACAGGCACATTTTTGGGGGGCTTTGTATGCGCTGTAGAAATACATTGGTGAATGAAGTACAGTTTAGAGTCACAACATGAAGAATGTGTTTCCACTACATACACATCCATTAATATAACATCAATAAGAAACACACGGTTTACATTGTTAATGCTGATTTTTAATGGAATGAATGAAAAGAATAGCCGGTAACCAGAGGTGAACCAGCCTATGGGTGTGTCTAGAGGATCCCAAAAGGGGGTAACCCTTACATACGTTAAAAGAAATACAAAAAATATATATAGGAGGATCTAGGTGGAGAGGAGGATAAACCCCGTCCTCACACTAGGTCAACCTAGAAAGGAATCCCCATCCTAGTTGTAATGCTTGAAAAAATAGAGGTAATAAAACTTAACCTTTATTAATAATGGATAAAACTATGTAAATACAGAGAAAATTAAAAAAGAAAAATAATATATGGAGTGCCACCACAATCACTGTGGGTATGGACAGTAAAAATAAAAATAATAATAATAATACGTTACGATGTCCTTCAAAATCACTTGTAGAGAGATATCTAGCAAGAGACTAGGAGCCAAATAGGATAAATAATGGGGAGGAGAAGGAGAGAAGAAATGGAACAATTCTGTAGGCTACTTGTAGAGAAAAGAAAAATGATACTAGTTGGCAAACTGTAACAGAGTATCCAGTGCAATTAGAAACTAAATGGCACTAATTGCCAGTAACCTCTATGTTGTGAGGGAAATGGATAGTATTGCTAAGAAAAGCACTGCAGTATGAAGGGAAAATCTGAATAGAGAGGGATCCACTACATGGATCAAATAAACCAAAAACCTACCCTCCTCAAGATCCCCCCAAAAACCCTTTCGCTGATAACTGTAACCCAAGTGGTGCTCACTTGGAGTTAGCCTACCTAGTGGCAGACTACAAACTGAACTGCCTCTCAGGTTCCCCCCAATCCCTTGCATTAGCGGCAAAATGCTGAAACCTAAATGCTCGTACTAGCTCTAAGCTAAACTCTCACGTGGCAAACTCCAGACTAAACTACCTAACGCGCGTTTCAGCGCTTCCAATGCGCCTTCGTCAGAGGTAAAGCCTTTTTATTTTTCTTTTTTAATTTTCTCTGTATTTACATAGTTTTATCCATTATTAATAAAGGTTAAGTTTTATTACCTCTATTTTTTCAAGCATTACAACTAGGATGGGGATTCCTTTCTAGGTTGACCTAGTGTGAGGACGGGGTTTATCCTCCTCTCCACTTAGATCCTCCTATGTATATTTTTTGTATTGATTTTTAATGGAATAGCAACTAGCCAGTGTTCCAATGGTGTGTTATGTTTGCTATTCCAAAATTATAATTTAAAAAAGTTAATTGACTATTAGAAAACCCTTCAAAATGTATGTTAGCAAGCTGAAAAGGTTTGTGCTAATTAAAGAAACAATAAGACGTGTCTTCACTAGACTAGTTGAGTATGTGGAGCATCAGTAATTGTGGATTTGATTAAAGGCTCAAGATGGCCAGAGCTTTCTTCTGAAATTTGTCAGTATATTCTTGTTCAGAGAAATGAAGGCTATTCCATGCCAGAAATTGTTAAGAAACTGGTGACAGTGTACAACAGAGTACGACTGAAAAAGTGTTTTGGACAGACAATTAAGTTTGAGTTGTTCAGATCCCAAAGAATAATTTTTTTAAATGTAGACCAAATAAATAGATGCTTGAGGAGAGGTTGATACCCATCATCTGTCAAACATGGTAGATGTAACTTGATGGACTGGGGGTGCTTTGGTGGTGGTAAAGTGGGAGATTTATATACAGGGTTAAAGAGACCTTAAGGAAGGAAAATTTTCACTCCATTTTCCAATGCTAAAACGGTCATTAAGTGAACAGCACAATCACCAGATCTCACCCTACCGAGCTGTTAAGGAAGCAGCTTGACAGTATGGTAAGAAGTGGCCAATAAGTAAATCTAACTGTGCAATGTGCATCAGGAAATATGGGGTGAAATCTCTTCAGATTACTTCAACAAATACAATTAGTTATCTAACAAATATACTTACCCTTTGAAGTTTAGGGATAAATCTTATAGAAAATGCTCAAATAAAACAATATAGTGTAATATTGTATTATATATTGTAATGTATTGATATATTGAATCATCTGCCCATGTAAAATGTTCATCATGGGCAGAACTACACATTCAATGAAAATAAGAGCACAAGAACACATATAAAACATGGTTTGGACAGTCTCTCCCTACAGTATAAAATACACAATAACGACAACGACCCAAGCAATCTTCAATATTTTGAATTCAACGAGTTAAAAATAAAAAAAATAAACTGGAGAGGACATAATTTAATAAGGAAATGGACCAGCAGAAATAAAGTGGCTATTTCATTTAAATACATTAAAACATATTGTACATATATTTACAACAGAGTGTTTCCATCACACATGGCTCTATAAAATAAATACTACTACTACAAAAAATAAATAAAGCGCCACACAATATAAACTTACCAGAATTTATTATTTTTGACGTCTCCTCATCATCACTAGTGCCAACATCTGATACTGGCTTTTTCCAATACATTGGTCTCCATTTTCTCTTCTCTTTACATGTAGTGTGAGGTGGTGCTGGGGAAAAAAGAAATAGTGAAAAAACGGAAATGAAATTAACAAAAAAAACCACTGCATGCATTTCTGCAATATATAAAAGTATCAGTGCAGGACAAGTTATAAAGTAAAGTTCTACTTTTGTTGGTACACGGACCACTGGCTGCTTCCCTTTAATAAAGTTTCCCAGCTCAATTCCTTTCAATCTGAATGATGGAAAGAATGCTAAAACCAGGCATCAAAATACCCCCCCCCACCCCCCCCAAAAAAAAAGAATGCAAATGATTTATTGCATGGTTTTCTAAAATAACAATTACATTATGTATACACACTTTCGCCAAGTAAATTAAAATTCAATTTTGTAAAGTGTAACCAAATCATTTTTTGACAAGCACAAGGGGATATATTTCTTAGAAGTTATATTTAGTTTAGAGGAATACTGACATATCAGAACCTCTGAAAAATTAACACTTACTGTGATTTCTGCTTTCATTGACATAACTAACAAGCAAAACAGACATCTGGTCCATTGACATGCGATCAAGATTGACACCAAAGAGTTTGTCAACATACTTTTCTAAAATTAAAAAAAAAAAAAAAAAGTGTGTCCATATTAATTATCAAGACAATAAAGATGAATATTTGCATAAAACAAAGCAACAAATGCCTAGAAATAAAATTATTAACATTTCAACATTGGAAAAGGTTTGTCTGTCAAACGCAATGAGACTGAAAAGCTGTGAAATGAAAATACAGGGGGCGTAGCCTGACCTTCGAGCAGAGCAGTCGCAGGCAGCACGAGCTCCTCCCTAACTCGCAAACTCTAGGGTATTTCAACAGCTAAATTAGCCAAAACTACTTACTGGGGTGCACCACTGAACCGATCGACACCCCACTCAAGTCCATTGCGGCCGGGATCCCGGAGCTGTGGTGTAAGAGCTGGACTGGGGAGAAGCGGCCGCTCTTCCCGAAACCAACCTCACCACGCAACTCACCTGGACTCCTACTCCCCCTCCCCCTCTCTCGACTGGTGGGGGTTATCCCGGTCCGCACTAGGTGGACTGACTAAAGCCACTCCTGCTGCACCTACATACCGCTTAAAGCAGAAGCCTAAGGCAGCCCGACCACTCAAGATGGCGGAAGCCCTTCCACGTGCCTCACAAACATTAAGCAGGTCTCATGGGCCTCACTACGACTCCATCGACTACAGGCTGGATGCTTTATTCCAGGCCTTCTGGGACAAGCAGCTGGCACGCTCTACAGCCATCAGGTACAAACAGCAGATGGAGAGGGGCCCACGGATGACGACAGGAGGGATACCTCCAGGCAGCGCACCTACATAAGTGCCTCACCACGCTAATGGGCACCTACCTAGGCCGAAAGCCACTAGAGGCCTGACCTCTCTAAGTCGACCACACAGGCGGAAGATCCCACACCGCTGGAAGCGGACACCACCTCCATTTTGCACCTGCTCCTTGGGTGACTAGGACTAGGCGGTACAGAGTCTGTGGACAGAGAATTTCGTCTTTCACACAAGCCGGGGGCTCACCTATTGCTCCCTGGCTGACCCTAGACCCTCACAGGGAAGCTCGCTGGGCCTGCTGCCCCAGGGAATCGGCTGAGAAAACCGCGGACCCTCAGTCTGACACGTGACAACATTTGCTGAAAGCAGATGCCATTATTGACTGTGTCCTCAGACTAATTCAGTGCTTCTATAAGTTCATATAATTTGCCCTACTAGCCAACTCATCTATAATGCAGCACTGTGCAACATTTTAAGTTCCAGTAGTATAGAGCTTATTTTATACGATAGCTTAACCTCACATTTAAATAGCTACAGCAATGTGTTTTCTATTTCCTACTACTTTACACAACACTCCTCGTTATAGAATAGCTAGGTATCTCATATGCATCTGTGTTTTAAAGCGACAGTTTAACAGGAATTTAGGCCTACTCTTGAATAACTAGCCTAACTCTCTATAGCATTCACTAGCATGCTTTACTATTCTCTCTAAAAAGTAGTGCTGTTCCATCGCAATTGTACATATCTAATCTATGACTACAGTATCCTGTTTTCAAGTTATATGTATAGTTGTATTATTGCATGTGCCTGTTTTGATGTTGGGACAAGACAGGTGATTGTAAACGTCTCAGCACTACAAACAAAAAAATTACATATATACATAAACACGGCTTAAAATATATAGTCCTATGCTACTAGCCAGGCCTTAAATGTTACTTGCCACTACAGCCGCAGAGTATCCACCGTTAAATTACTTGCCAACGGCTAGTGGAAATAGAGACCTGTAGAATATTATATATATATATATATATATATATATATATATATATATATATATATATATATATATATATATATATATATATATATATATATATATATATATATATATATACATACATACATACACATTCTAGCTTTTGTATCTCATTGGCTACTACCTGCTTGCAATATACAAACTGCATCGATAAAGCCATAGTAACCAAAGATTTACAGAAAACAAAAAGCTGAGCATTCATATAGAAAACAATAGTAATCCAGAATCAGATACACATTACCATCAGGGAAAAAAAAAAAAAGCAACGCAACTCCAACAATAAACAATTTTTCAATTATAAAGCCTAGCTAATTTCTATTTGCATACTCAGTCCATAATTCCATGGTAAAAAATAAAATAAATAATACATCTAGTCACAACAGATTTGTGCTGATTGATATTAAAAGACCACTAAAAGGTAACCAAACCACATATTCTCAATAATGTGGTCTCGGTGCAGTGGGCCTTTAGTTTTGACCCTGCAATGTATAACATTGCAGTTTTGCTGAAACTGCAATGTTTCTATTGCATAGTTAAACATGCCTCTAGTGGCTATCCTCCTCTCACTCGTGTGAGTACAGAGTTAGAAATACTGCTCTTCGTACTTCCTGTGCACTAGCCTGCTAATTGCTTCCCTATGAGGATGCACTGGATTGGCTGGCACAATTAATCCAAATGATCTCAGCCAGGGAGGCAGAGTGACACCAGCGCAGCAAAGAAAAAAAAAAAAGTGTAAGTGAAAACCACCTATCATCCCTTCATGAAATAGGGAAACACTATAGCGTTAACACATACATAATAGCATTCTTTTAACATTGTTTTAATGGACAGGAACAACAGACTTTGCATAAACCATCCCCAAGACATAAAGCGAGTACAGATTTCTCTTTACAGTCTGCAAAAGCAGAAAGGGGAAATTTAACCTATTCACAAACATGGACTATCAATCACAACAAGTGACATGAAACTTTAAATAAGCTGAAATTTTACAAAAAAGACATTTTACCAGTGGCAATGCTAATCTCCTCATCTGTGCTTTTTTCTGTGCAGCCAATAAGGTTCAAGTTGTAGGACAATATATCTTGAAACAGTTGATGTCTGCTAAGCGTACAATCACGCATGTGCTGCCTACAAGAGACAAAAGGAAATAAGTAAGAGATGCATTAAAAATTACAAATTGTTCACAAGAGAGGTAAATCCACTTACCACTGGCAATCATCATCGTTACACGTGCCGGTCAAGTCAAAATGGCAGAAGAACGTTTTAGGCTCAATCATGTTACTGTAAGACACAGAACTCAATAGCAGCTTTTCTTTTGTTCGAAAATATGGACTAAACCTGTCAGAAAAAAATAAAATATGATTACAACATTAAACACAAAGTAGTTTTTCTTTAGCTCTGTATAATAGAATTGTTTTTTAATAAAAACACCCCTTCCCATTCTAACGGACTATACATTTGTCTCTTTAATGCACTGCTAATGTTGCAGAGAATTTAATTTACATATTAAGTGGCTTATATGAAAGCAACTTTCCTGAAAATAACTTACATGCTTACTTTGTTATAGTTTAGTATTGTAGATTCCCGCTTATCTATGGTTTTTTTTTATTTTATAAGAAGCTGCTTCCATTGTGTGGTACTATATAAATATACAGACAAAAACAAAACAAAAAAAACACACACAACTATCAAGAATTTCACATAACATAACATGCAAAGCTATTTCAGCCTAAAGACGTGTGCCTGACTGCAAGGTTAGGAATTAGAGAGTCACTTGTAGCTATACTGCTCTGGCTGTAATAGAGCTGTAATAGAGACTTATGCATTGCATGTCAGCAAAGGTATTCAAACAATCGAATGTCAGTATCTAGAGTAGACTCTAAAATCACATCATTCAAAGAAGGTGCCTAAGTGAGCATTAATGGATATGTCCTTTCCTACGTCGTCTAGAAATTACACACAGAAACCCATAGTTCACACAAGGGATTCATGTGACTAACAGTCTTCTTAATCACCCAGAGTGGCTCTGTCTTACTGTGTCAAAAACTTTGGAAAAGCGCAGCACAAGCACACGTTTAAATAATTTGTGCTCTTTGTGGTATAAAAGCATGGATTTCACATCTTGCAAGGATCCTTTGGTATTCTGTGAATTACATGTTTTGAGGGCTTGTTCAAAAGTGGTACAAGAGTGCCATCTTGTGTTCAAATAAGATGAACACCACATGCTTAGAAAAACAAGTTTCAAGCGATTATTAGGACCATTTGGTTCCACTCATCTTCCCATTTTCATTTTGCCAAATTGCTTTTAGTGTGCATAATATTATCCAGATGAAACATTTCTGTTTAAGTTTACCGATTAGCTGAGACCACTGGCTATCTCACTATCTTTTTGTCCTGACCATCGGAACAAGATTTCAGGCTTCCTGATTCAAAAGACTTGACCAATCTGATTACTATAGCTGATGTAGAGAAATCTGAGTGCCCTAATTAGATAAAATATAACTTTTAATAATAGAGGTTAAAAAAATAGATACGTAGGTACCCATGCAAAAATGCGCAAAAATGGTCAGCATATGCATATAATAGGCTGTACACTAATAGATTGCTATGTACAAAAATAATGAACCTATGAAAGAAAGTGAATATAACAGGCAAAACTAATGATAATTATAAGATAAATCACTGGGCTACCTCAGAGATTTGCTGTAACAGCTTTGTGTGTGGATGTTTGACCTGTGGACACCACACAACCCTCTGAATCCCAAAGTTTTTTTTTTCCTGTTACAGACTGGGTGGGCAAAGGTTGCTCGATCACTTTTTTTCCCCCCTCCTTTTTTGTTTAAAAGTAGGCAGGCATGATAGTACACCTGTCAGTGATTTATTTCATTATATTTGCAACCTTTCTTAACCCTTTCACATTGGGTTCCCAGTACATTTAACAGGTTAGTGTCTTATTGTCAGCCGAATGAGGCACTTTTGCAATATTCTAAACAATGGCTAAATCGGCATTCTGTTTTTAATACAGTTAATATACTGGGCTAATAATATTTAACTTAGTGCAGTTATTTTTCATATTCTGTGCTAAGCATACACATTATCAGTGTTGCACTCATCTGGGTACAACGCTATTTATGTAGACTATCGCTTGTACAAATACATTCATCTCCTTTTGTACATTCTAATACATGTTATCAACGTGGTTCCATTTAAAACCAGCATTATAGATGTGGAACTGAGCATGGAGAGCTACATTTAGATCGAGCAATTACAGATCAGCCTGCATCCGTTTGTAACATTATGGCCATTTAGACAAACTGCAACATTGTCTTTTGCAGTTAAGACCTAGCCGAGGACACTGAAAACTTCTGAACAGGTCCTCTTTGCTCTTATAATTGGATGTAGTGTCACATCTTCCAATTCTGGAGACGGTATTTGATGGCATGATAGCTTTACGTGTTATTACTAGTTTTTCTCTCAGTGCTCGGTCCACAAGTAATAGCTCAGCATTCAGGGCTCTTAGTGGGTAACCAAGTGATTTATCTTATAATTATCATTATTTTTGCCTATTATAGTCACTTTCTTTTATAGGTTCATTATTTTTGTACATAGTGATCTATTAGTGTACAGACTATTATATGCATATGCTGACCATTTTTGTGCCTTTTTGCATGGGTACCTATGTATCTATTTTTTAACCTCTATTATTAAAAGTTATGTTTTACCTAATTAGAGCACTCAGATTTCTCTTCGTCCTTTTTTCACTACTTTGGTAGTTTTGTATGGGTTAATCCCACTATGAGTGTATCCCTTTAGCTTCCACATCATACTCTTCTATAGTTTATGTATTTTAAGATCATTCTTCCAGTATGATAAACAACAGACAAAACGTATACATCATTTTCACACCAAGTATTTCTGGCAATCAGGTGCTATCCTTTAACAGCAAACGTTCAACACATCCTCTTAAAAAGTATTGTTCAAAATGCTCTGAACAAAGAGTCTGTCGCATCTACACATATAAGAATACATTTTGAGAGTTGCAGTGGGAAAGTTTCACTAAAAGTCCTGTTTAGTACAACATAAGAATGTCCAAAATTAAGGACAATACAAAATAAAGCTTTTACCTGTAGGATTTAAAAACCAGAAGGGGACTTCTATATGGTCCAAAGGGCAAGGGCCTGGTATCCATCTGTTTTGTTTGTGCTGTAACTAAATCCACATCCGCAGGTATTTCCTGGAACAAAATGAGTACATTTATAAAAACTCAAAATGGTCATTAATAACCATGCAGCACTGCATGACTCTCTGTACACGTGTGTAAAAATAAACACAATGCAGGTCAGAGTGGTTAATAGAGCCAACAGTCAAGAAAAGATTAGGTTTCAAGACAAAATAAAAAACTGTAATTACCTTCCCTGAGATGAGTTTATCCTGAGACAACATTAATCCAGTGCCTTGTGAAAATAGATCTTTCAAGTTATCAGAACAGGAATGAAGTATTTTTAATTGCTCAATATTCAACCCTAAGAAAAGTTCTGGTCCCTCTGTAGACATCGTGGATGGCTTGTTAACTCCCTCTTTGTTGGGTGTAGCTTCACTGTGCTTCAAGTTGGGCTTAGTGAAAGAGTTAGAGTCTCTGAATGATCTCCGCCTCTGTTTAACAGAGGGTGATAAAACTTCATCCTCAATGTCATTTTCCTCTGCGTCTAGCGTTATTTTGTCCTGAGAGAGGTCATGAAGTGAAGGCTGTGGAAGAACAAACTCAGGCTGCTCTAACACAGGGGGTGTGAGCACAGCAGGTTCTTTGATATTGCGAGCTTGCATTTCTTTCAGCTTTTGAATCTTGAGGGCATATTCCTGCTCTAATTCCTGCAGCCGTTTCTTCTCCAACGCAATTGCTTCTGCATTTTGCTTTTTAGGGCTGGCTAAAGTGCCAGTGTCAGATTTAAACATTTTGTTTGCCTGCAAATAAAAAAAAAAATAAAGAAACAAAACTGAAAATAAAAATCAAATAAGGAAAAAAAAAAACCCAAGAGAATAAAAGAAAACAGGGAAGTAGTGTTACAATATCTTAAAAAGGAGTGGAGTTCTGCAGCTGAAACAATTCACTGTGCTACATGTATCCCGAGTTTAAACAGCTTGCATTATACAAGGAAAAATAAAAATAGAAAATGTAGTTTCAGAAAGAGGAGTCCATATAAAAATATCACAAGAACGAATGGTTCATCAGTAGGGATACACCGAAATGAAAATTCGGGGCTGTAACAGAAAATTCAGTATGCACTTGGCCAAAAACAACTTTTTTCCTAAAATGATTTTAAAATCAGTTTTTTTTTCTATAATTTTATTATTAGACTTAATGAATTTAATCTAAAATGAAAAACTACAAGCCAATAAAATAACCACTTTTATTGAAATTAACACCAAAATTGGACAGAAAACAAAAAAACAAGTTAAAATCTGTTAAATCTGTTTGTTATATAGGAGTAAAGAATAATATATTGTTGAAATTAATTTAATATCAAACATTTATTCGGTTCTATGCAACAGAATCAGATTTAACAGTTTTTTGTATTGTTTTTTTAATGTCTGTTTTGCAGTCAGTTTATAATGTAAATATGTGGGTGTAGAATACAGTCTCCTGTCTGTAATGATCCTTTCTAGTCTCACTCACACTCAGTCCATATAATACAAAGCATGTACTTTGTCCATATAATACAAAGCATGCATTACTCAATGCTTTCCTATGGGGATGTTTTTTGACGCTGCAGGTCTGTGAAGACATCCAGCATCAAATAAGTGCTATTTACTCAGTGTAAATCGTGTAAGCGCGTCTAGTGGCTGTCAGGGAGACAGCTACTAGAGGCTGGATTAACCCTGCAGTATAAACATAGGGTCTCTGAAACTGCTATTTTTCCAGCTGCAGGGTTAAAACTAGGGGGACCTGGCATGCAGACCAATTCATTGAGCTGAAGTGGTCTGGGTACCTATAGTGGTCCTTTAACCATTAACACTGTACCAAACTGCTCTCACACTCTGCCCATACTCTCTGTAGAGTTTAACTGCCCTCATCTAAAATGGCCGCTCAGTAACACCCACTTCCTGTGACATCATATACAAGTTCTTTAATAATGATGGAAGCTGCATCAGAGAGTGAACAGTGAGTGCAGGCATTGTGCTCCAGAGACAGATCTGAAGTGGCTTTCATGGAGGACACTGGAGCAAGGAGAGGGAGTGGATACAGGGCTGGGACACCCAGTGAGGTGGGTATTATAATATCCATAGTAACAAATTTGTTTATATAGAGAGATAGCTGAAGGGTGCTATTGTGGTACCACACACAGGGAAAGGGGTGTAATTTTTGGCGCATTTACTTCTGTGTTAAACGAGTATTAATACTAGCGGCAACATATTCCTAGGTGCTTTACAAATTATAGAAAGGAGAGGTTATAAACGCAGCCCTGCTCAAACCAGCTTTAATTAAAATGAATGCCCTTCTCAAACGAGCTTACAATATAAAGTAGGCAATTATATATTATTAGGTGTCTTGCTCAAGGACAATTACAGACAGTTCTATGGCAGTGACATTACCAAGTTAGAATGGTTTTAGACAAGAAACGTGGATGAAGGTATATACACATTTAATAAAAAATAAAAAAAACCACAATGTACTTACTCCAATGCTGTTGTGTTCCAACTTTCTTTTCCCCAGTTCCTGACTAGCTAGTGCTTTGGCGCGAGCAAGTTCTTCACCAAACTTTAGTGCAAGGGTTCTTTTTTCTTTTACTCTGTGTTGAACTTTAGTAATCTACAGAAGAAAAAAAAAAGAAACCCAGAGATTACTATGCAACTACATTTGAAGACATTTAAGCATGCCTCGCAATATTATTCCAAGACAGGAAGGTATGTGAGCCTGGTGACGTAAGGATCAATGTCAGCCAGGCCCAATATATAGATTCCCTCAAAAGGATAAGAGATCACTACCTGTTCTTGGAGTTTCTTCAGAAATAATCTATTTGCATTGAGGAACTTCTCAGTTGCTTGCAGTTGCTCAGTCAGTCTGGTGATCTTTAGTTCTGCTGTTTTGATGGATTCTTTTTTCCTTCCCTCTTGTTCCAAAAGATTCCTTAAGACCGATTCATCCTTTATTAGCAGCATCCTATTCAATAAGAATATAGTTACAATATGCAAGCAAAGTGACAATGTCATGTCATTATTTATATGGAAGTATTAAAAAAAAAAGTAATGGAAAGCATTTGTTTAAAAGCAAAAAATAAATAATTATTGAATTAGTATTTAATGCCATCAAATTTTATGTTTGTCAGATCATGGGCATTTTTAAAAAAACAATTGGTGTTCCCTTTACAAGACAATACAGTGTAGTCAAAAAGTTTGCTAAAGACTGTGATGAAGCTCCCTTACTCAGACTGTAAGAACTTTTTATTTATTTTTATTTTTAAATAACATAATATATTCATAAAAGCAACTGGGGTGTGAGGCAAACAGTTACTAAAATAGCTGCCATAGATAAGGGCAGAGTTTATATAGTCCAAGCAATGGGGACTACAGTTATAGTACTAATTGCTAACCCAGTGGTTTTCAACTAGAGGGCCTTCACAGACCGACTGCAGTCCTTAAAATGTGTGGGTTTTTTGGTAAAGTGTCTGCATTTTGCTGATGCCAATCCACCAATTCATTAAAAGGAATGAGTAAATTTGGCTAGAAGTATGCACATATCTTTTGCAAGACTCCAATAAATGTGACATTTACACGTTGTTAACCAAGGTAAAAGGAAACTGTAGGGGTGCCTTTTAATTTTCCTCTCATCGACATTTGCCTTGTTCCAAAAATGTCTGAAAACCACTGCTTTGGCATTAAAAAACTAAAGTTACCATTTACTGTATGGCATATGTTCGGCATAAAACCTGGATTGTAATAATTCACTAAAGACGCAACTAATGTACAATAAACTCTAGCAAGTGTAAAGAGCATTACACAACATAACAGGAAAATAAGAAAAGAAAAAAAGTTTACAGAGAAGAACTAGAGGCTTACGTTTGTTTCTTATGCTTTGCTTCGGCTTCTGTGACTTTTGAACTTATGACTGGGCTTCTACTCGCTTCCATCTCCATGTCAGAGTTTGTTGGTGACGCACTTGCTCTTGACTGTTCTGACTTTAGAAGTTTATGTTTTTCACGACTTTTCAAAAAAAAATAAAAAAAAATTATATATATATAAAATATAAAAGTAAATAATTCTTACACTGCACATGAACACAAACGGAAAATCAGCCACTTAATTACCTGGCAATCTCTTCTTTTAGCAGCCTGTACTCCATTTTTTTATCCTCTGGTAAAGCCTCTGGGGTTCGCATGGGATCATTTTCTTTTTCAGATTGAGGTGGTGGTTTTGGTTTTGAAGCCTGGTACAACACGTGGATAAGAAATACTCAATGTAAAAAGGGTACCACTAAGTGTACATGTTAGAGGCAACATATGGGATTTAGATATTGTGTAACAGACATCTGCTGAGCAAAGTGTAAAACCTAAAAATGCTTTTAAAAAGTCTTTGAATTCTTAAACATACATGCAGATAAGAGATATGGTATTTAAGACTTGGGAATTAACAGGACAATGAAAGGACATGCTCACAAAAAGATCTCACGTAAAGGCAAACATGTGCTAAAACACACACTCCAGAGTTTGTATCGTCCCATTTGGTAAGTTACTAAGTATTTGAGTTCCTTTGCACATCTCTTAAAACAGTTTTGATTATACACAAAAGATAGTTTTGGAAATGGGTTTACCATGGGACTCGTGGCAAAATAACCAATAAAGCAGGCTATAGTGGTTATGTTGCTTTAAGGTTATTTTAGACTTCCCTCTGCTACAGACTTTAACCCAGTAATTGGTTTGTTCGTTCCATTTTCACGCAACCATGTAAATGTCATCACATACTCACTAACCAGCTTGACATTTGCATATACCACTCAAAGCAACTCTTTACTGCTAATACTCAAAGTGCTTTGTCCCAACTATTTAAAACACTAAATGTGGAATGAAATATAACATTTCAGTGATCTTAATACTTGGTGTTCAACATGTCAAAATGTTTTACTGCCCTTACTTGCTTGTTATGCCAACATGACTAGCACAACAAGGATCAAAACATGACATCTTAATGTATCCTCCCTGGTGGGGGACAGGAGGGTGATATTATAAATACCCAATAGCAGAATATAGTAAACCTATTTCATTTCCATTTTACCTCAGCTGTTCTTCTTGCTTCTTTGATCATAGATTCAAGGCCCCCAAAAACACTAAAATTTGTACTGGATAGCTCCCCATCCGATTCGCTGTCATCTGATGCATTTAAGGTCACGACTACGGATTTGTGTTTTGGAAGCTAAAAATTAATTTAAATTTAAAAAAAAAAAAAAAAGTTTTGAATAAGAAACATCAGTAAAGTTATATGCACACAGTAATTAATGATTAAAAGCACATCTACTTCATCACCATCGCTCATTACTGTAGTGTCATTGTCAATACCTTAACATTCGTAATGCTTTTAGAGATTAATTCCCTATTGGGAATAGATGTAAGCTACAGCAGGCGTTCCATGCAGAATGTTATTTAACTTAAAAACGGTTGTACCATATATATTAAACCAGGGAAGCTATTTTACCATACATTTTAAAAGGATGGAAATTAGTCCAGGAGCCTCAGTATGTGAGGCGTTTCAAAGTGAAAACATCGAAAATACAGACTTCACGCACCAACATGTCAAATCACTGGTCATGGTACCTGGAGGGGCCATTTAAATACTTCTGGCAGCTAATGTTGCAGCTTTGTATTCCTGGCACTACAGTATCCCTTTAAGTTATATAGCAGAAGTCAATAGGGACTAAGGATTTCTTTTTACAACCAAGGAATTATTAGCATTTATATGGTGGCATCATATTTCAGAGTATTTTATACTTCATGTATGGATAAGACAAACAAAACAAGCTATTACAAATGATGACAGGCAAAATCAGCGTATAGAGAACCCTGCTCTAATGATTAGTTTATTTCCCAGTAATTAGCTGAACCCATGGAGTCAGCACATTTTTTTATGTGCTCATATTCCAGGAAAAGGCATCTACACATTGCTAAACAAATCCAAGAAATCTTGCATGAATTACAGGATGACAAATCATTGACCAAAACCAGACCTAGTTTATGAGATTTTAACATATTGAAGCACACTGCCACCTTAGTTATTAAAGAACTGCAGGTTTTTCCATTCTGAAAACTGTACATTATCCAGCTACACACACCATGGATTATGACAGTGCCCCTTTAAAGGACTGAAACTGTTGTAGTTCTGTGCAATACCAATATAGTTCCTTGAGTTTTAATGCTATATTGTGCTCTCTGTATGTCTGAATACTCACAGAGTTGGAGAATAAAAGTATAAGACTTCTAAATGTTTGTTATTGCAAACCTTTTCCCAAGAAAATAGGGATTACAAAAAGCTAAAATACTATAATGTAGGGCCTGCATTACTAGTTCAGCATGGCTACTTAAAACACTTGTTTTCCAAGATTGTAAAAGTACACACAATGCTTGTGTAACTTTCAGATTGGATTAAAAATGCAAAATATCATACCTTTATTACACGTCGGATAGGTCTCAGCACTCGAACAATCTGAGTAGTTGGTTTGCGATGAGAGCTACTGTTAAGACTAGAGGATGTTAAAGTGATCCTTGGTACAGGCATAATATTACTAAGAGCAGGTGGGGACGGAGGTCGACTGTTGTTAGTAGGTTCCTAAGAAAATAAAAGTTGATATGTACAATGATGGTTTACAATCAAATGTGAACTTAATCACCACCTCTACCGAACAAAAAAGTGTGCTGATAATCATTGGCAGTGCACAATAGAAATGTGCAAAAACAAAATCGGAAAGACAAAAGCCAAAGTGTGTTTTTGTTTCTTTACTAAATAAATATGTATTAAAGAGAAAGGTAGACTTTATACCTCCGGTTTGTACACCCTTTTAGTAGCTAATGATTTCAGTAGCTCTTCACGTAGCAGCATCTCTTCCTCCTCTTCCTCATCTGCAAATGGAGGTTTTGGTGGCTGTTCTGGCTCTTCAGGTGGAAGTGGGGGAGGTGGAAGCAACGTTTCAGGGGACGCTCTGGAGACAGCATCTTCATAACATTCAAAGTCTGTCTTCTGAGGAGGTTGAAAATACACAAAGTGCACACTGTGACTGGCATCCAAAACAAATATTAAACGTCAAGTTCACTTTTTAATTTGTGAGTCAGATCAAACAGACCGAGCTACCATACACTTGTACCTCAGACAATTTAAAAAAAAAAAATTTTAATTACCACAATCCTGTATAAGCTTCTCATCTCAAAAAACACACAAGCAGCATTCTGTCACTACTAGTTCTCTTCTGCCTCGCATCAGTTACAAACCCCCTCTTATTTGACAATGAGAAGAATTTACTCCTGGGATTTATTAGAAATGAAGGGCATGGAACTAGGCCTCATCTGCTGGCACATTCGTTGCATGGGCATTTGCAATAGTGATAGTGATGCAGAGCACTGTTTATTTCCCATCCAGTATTAAATCAAGACGGGAACATACAGAGCATGTTGTGCTAACTAACTGAATAGGAGCAAATCAAGTTGTACCAGGTGATTCTTAAAGGGGTCTTTTAGTATTATGCCTAATTGTTTTTGTACATCTAGTCTTATATCAAGTAAGATTATTTTTAAACAACTTTGGGGCATATAATCTAAATAAATCTATTGGGACCCACTTTCTATCTCTCTAATGGAGAATCTGCTATTCTAATAATATTGTGGCTATACATTGTACACAAGTGGGTTGTCATTTTTATATTTTTTCACTCCACCATCTCGTGTTTAAAATCTACTTTTTGTTTGGCTCCTTGCAGCATCAGAGGTTATCCCTGTCCAAGACCCAGTTGAATTGCTCCCTCTGTGAAAGGGTTGGTTTATATGTACCTTCTTAAATCTAAACTCACAGTGTTTAACCCCCATCATGCACCATAGCCTCATGGCATTTTAATGTGCATATGTATTGTCTCTTACTCTAATCTTTGCATATTCTAATAGAGTTGTTCTACCATTATTCCATCTATTGGAGGGATCTCCATGTTTTGACTCATGCCCTTTTTGTTCATTTTGTAATCTAATTAAATTGTTGTGGGTTACTCCCACGTGGAGCTTCTTAGTCACGGTTATTTGGTTCCCTAGTGGTACCTTTTTGTTATTTTCAGATATAGAGAGAAATTCTGATTCAATGTACTTGTAGAATACCACAGGCATCTCCCTCCGATAAGTCCAGTGATTTATTCGTATAGTTAGTGTGCATTTGGAGGAAGATCTTTTGTCTTTGGCACAGGCCAAGTAAAAAAAATCAGAGAGTAAACCCCAATCTTACTGCCAATATGTGCTAGATGTAAAATGCCTGTCAACCTACCCACACTGAAGGGCAATCCTCTGGAACACACAACGCCGATGGCAATCCACCCATCAGATTAGTGGTAAAAGGAACCCTTGTAGGAGATGCACCTATACAAAAAAACAAAAAAAAAAAACATAAAAACACTAAGGGACAGGATTTAATTAATAATAAACACTGTGCACAAGTTTCAAATATACATAAAAACCATATGCAAGATTCAGAAATTGTTTCTTGGTTCAATCTATAACTTTATTTGCAGCTTTTTTTTTTGACTAATAAAACCGCCGTTTCACTAACAGTTACAGGGTTAGTAAGGAAATAGACGATAAAAAGGAGGTAGCACTGGGCCTGATAAATTATACTGGGAGTTTTAGCTCTGTGACAATGATATACCTTTTGGCCAATTATGTTTCAATGTATAACGAATCCAGACTTTAGGAACAATATTTTTCAGGCTAAGATACCTGGAGAATTTGTTTCACTATCCGTGTCCATTGCAACTTCTTCATAGTTATCATACTGGTAAATGCCTCCTGCACTTTCCTGCTTTTCGGATCGTCTCTGATCTGCGTCTGAAGACTAAAATAAATAAATAACTGAAGGTTAATTACATGCTTCCCTTATGTGACAAATTCAGCAAATCTGAACCCGACACCACATTCCTAGTTGTCAATTCCCATTATTATTATTATTATTATTATTATTTTATTATTTATATAGCGCCAACAAATTCCGTAGCCCATAGAAGTGAACAAGTAAGCTCAGGCACGGATAGCTATAAGGACATTCATCCTTTAGAAGTTGAAGAGTGTCAAAATAGACACAAAGACGGCTCAGCCTAAAGCTCCACGTGTAAAGGCAGCACAGCAAATCTGAATGTACATGAAGTGTCAGGTTTCTATTAGAAAGTAGTACTGGAATTACACTGGCATATAAACCCACAATTCATTGTAGACAAAAACAACAAGGAGGCAAAAGTAGCACACTGGACAATGAATTCTTAGCTTTGGTATAAGTTTAGAGAACAACAGCTGTACATGCCATAACCAAAAATGAGCCAGCAATGTTAAAAGCTGAAAAGTGATTTATAGAAAATGAAAAATACAATAGTGTGAGGAAAAAAAAAAAAAATGAGGGGGGAAATGCAAGCCATCATTCACCATTCTGTGAGAAACAACAAAACAACCAAATTGTGCACTACCAGCTAATGTAAGAATACAAAGCGAAAGATGTCTGAATTGGAACATCACAAAATATAGATTTTAAAAAATAAAGTTACAAAGGATGTCAATTTACCTTGCTACGTTTGGTCTTCTCCCCTACAAGTTTCATAAATCTGTTGTATTGTTCTTCTTGATTTGAAAGGTCCCGGATCTTTCGGATCTCCTCTTCTCGTTTTCTTCTTTCCTCCTCTTCTGCTTTCTTCTTTTTATCCTCCTCCTCTTTCTTTTCTTCAGCTTTCTGTTGTTGCAATTTTTTCCAGGCTTTTGTCTGTTGCCTTCTGAGTGCCTGTTTGGCTTTAGAAATAGAACACATTTGACTCAGAAGAATTAAAACTATTTTACATTTAATTTTGGGTTTTTTAAATACAAGCAGATTCTATAGGAATAAAAAAGCTGTATTCCTAACACTATAGTACCCCTCTGCCCCCCCTCAACCACTGCCGGTAGAGGTAGGTAGAGCCATTTGCCCTGAATATAGATGTTTAATAGCCAGAGTGGATATTTTATTTTTATTTATTTTTTTTTACCAGATTTACTTTCTTCCTTTAAGTCCTAAATGCACATTTGAATGCTCTATAAACATTTTATGTTTCCTATTAAGCTATGATCATCAGAATTGAATACTATATTCTAAACATCAAACCAAAAATAGATTTATTTTTAATTTTCATGTGTCTTACCAGCATATGCTGCACAGTTGGTTTTCCGTGTTAAGTGTGAATTTGTGGTACTATTCTCTTTTGGTAGCTCAGCCTTGGGTTCGGTTAGTTTCTTCTTGCTTTCCTTCATTACCAAGTGTTCTTTCTGCTGCCATTTCTTACTTGCAGACTGCAGAGCCAGAAGTCGCAAGTGGAGCTCTGACAACTCTTCCTCCTCCTCGACTGGTTTCTGAAAATGTCATATGTAAGAGGTTAAAACTGAGAACAAATTCACAAGGATATCTGAACAAAAAAAAAAACACGTTTCTCTACTTCACCCTCTAAATACAGGCATGCCAGGATTGTCACATAAAATGGCAATTGCCAAAATCATGAGGAAATTGCTGAAAAAGTCAAATGGTTATTTACCTTCAATATGCATGTTAAAGTTTAGCATTCAAAATAACTTTTATATGAATATAGTAACTTTTCATTACAGCTGCTCCATCACCATGAACCCAGTGGAGTACATAGAGATGTAAATCACTGTTTATTTTTCAATATAATGCTAATTTTAAGGTGGGAGGACACTGCTTAAAGAAATCTGACAGTTCCACTATAAAAAGAGATTTTAATACTTAAGCAGAAATAAATAGCATTTAGTCTTTGTTCTTTAGTTAGGATACAACACAGATGAAAATGCATACGCTCACACGTCTTTGCCCAGCATCTTGATTCTTATTCATTTTAAACCCAGAAAAAAAAAATGGTTATGTAGAAAAAGTCTGATGGTGTGAGCAGCCAAACTCTAAAGTTAAACATTCCACCCCCATCAAATGTAACTGAAATGCAAAGTGTGCCTTAATTCTGCAACAAATACCCTTTCTGATTAGGTTTCCAGCTGTGCTATAGTCTATAGCTCAGGTATTACAGCCTAAATTTGATAATTCATTTTTCAATTCACAACAATATGGTATGTATTGAACAAACATGTAAGTGTATGTGTTTGCACAATGCAGCTTCAAAAGAGTCCTATTACTGGTCCTATTCACAAAATGAAAGGGAGACCAGGAGAACGTGTAAAACAGTACTATTGTCAGTATTACAACAAAAATACAGACCTGGCATGGTTTAAAAACGAGAAAAATCCCCAGATGAAATCTTGTGTATATCTGGAAGTATCCTATAGTACTAAGCTCGTTCGAGCAGGGTCCTCTTCAACCTATCGTTCCTGTAAGTTTTTTGTAGTAATTCCATTTATAGTTAAATCCTTCCCACCTTATAATATGGTAAAGCGCTACGGAATCTGTTGGCGCTATATAAATGGCAATAATAATAATATACTCACTTGGTTTGTTTCATCTGTAGTGTTGCTGTCACAGGAATCTCCCTGTTCATTATTAACTGGTTCTGAAAAATTACACAAATTTGTAGCATGATACATTAATGTATACTAATCACAAACATTTGCATGTGTGGAGTACAAGCATATCTATGTATTTTATACCAGAGGAAATACCAAAACACAACTATTGACAAACATGGCAAGTATAAAATCCACATATGTTTAAGCACAATATAACCAACAAGAAAACAAATCTTACCTAAAACGAAGTTGAAAAAAACAAAACCATTTAGTTATAAAAATCCATGATAAATTAGTTGGTAAAGAGAAAATCCACAAATTATAACCAACAAAATATATTGAAATTATGGTGCTAGCAAGAGGTCTATAAAAGATTTGCCTTTTAAATCCAAAATATGCTTCATCGCCAGCAGTCAGAATCCATCCCCTTGCTATTGATGTTATTTTCAAAAGTAACACTTCCCCATTAAAAAAATAAAAATCACAGGTTGTGTACATACATCCAGCTCAAGTTATTTGTGTCACTCTTCATGTGCAGGAAATGAGTAGAGGTTTCAGTGACTGATTGGGATCTCCGAAATGGTAAAGATGAGAAAAAAAAAAAAAGAATTCACAAAAATGAAGAAGATGATCTAACCAGTAAGTTTTTAGGGACGGTTTGAAAATAGTTCTGGCAAAATGGCAACTGGAAATAGATGTCAGCAGCTGCACAGGCAATTTGCCCCGACAATGTGCTTGTGGTATACTGGTTGAAAATCACAGCTATAGAGAGTACCCACACACAGCACAAAAAACCACAGGGCTTTGGTGATTAGGATGCCCTATTAAATGAGCGCACTATAAAATAGAAAAAAAAAGTAGATTCTGATCATCGGAAATATTTAGACGTGAAGGGGGTGATAAGATAGATGCAGTGGGGCTCCAGTGTTTTTACATTAACTGCTTTCATTAGAGAAAGCAAAATAATGCGTAACTAAAAAGGAATAATTTCACCACCACAAATACTTGAAGAATTTCACCAGTGTGATTAGAATCTCAAAAATACTGGACCAATGCAATACCTGGTTTGGTGGTTTCTTCAACATTTTGATGCTTCTGTTCAGTTTCTTCAACTATATCCTGGTTCTTTTGTTGTGGAATAGGTTTTAGCTTTTGCTTCATAGGTTTGATTTCAAAAGCTTGAAAAACCTTTGCTGGAGGCTTCTCTTTTTCCTCAGTTTCTGGGGGAGGAACTGTAACATTATCAGCTACAATACTTTTTTCTTCGTCTCTGTGGGTGGGATCTCCGAAATGGTGACGAAGATGAAAAACACAAAAATGAAGGTCTAAACAGTGTGAAGTTAGCAGCTGCACAGACATTTTGTCCTGATAATGTGCTTGTGGCACACTGGTAGAAAATCATTGGTATAGAGTATGAATGAAAGAAAATACCAACACAGGGCTTTGGTGATTAGGGTACTCTTATTTTTAATATAAATAACACACAATACCTATTTATCTCATTAATTCAATTAACTTTTATCATGTGTCATGTATTAGCCACTCATAAACAAAGACACATACATACACATACATTAACCTGAAAGAATCGGTAATAAAAAAAAAAAATTTTTATTCAATTTCTCCTGCTTAACAGTTATGATATGCTTGTTAGCGGGGCCAACTTTTTTGTCCAATAGTCCCACGCATTTACAGTGGATAAGTTACAATTCTTGTTTCTAGCACAACCCAATTCCATTTTACATTGCCAGATAACTTGTTCCCTTAGTCCATCTAGTTTTGGGATATTGGGAGATTTTTCCAATTCTAGCCATCATCAACTTAGCCACAGTCAAAATGTGAAGGAATATAGGAGAAGTATTTTGTGCAATATATAAATTAGTACACTATATAGAATAAAGATGAAAAAAATAGTAATTGCATTAAAATAAAAGATATCACACTTTACTTGCTGGAACACACAGAAAACAAATAAGCAGATTCTGATAATTCTTTTTGCAATATTTGAAAGTCAAAGGAGTGATAAGATATATGCAGTGGAGCTCCAGTGTTTTTTTACATTAAAGGAACACAAGCCTTTATTCCTGACCCCATAGTGTTAAAACACCATGTAACCCCTGCCCCCACCCCCTTCTAAATATAGTAAAATATTACCTTCACTCCAGGCTGCTGCTGCTGCTGCTGGCTTTGCTCCTGATCTGCCTGCTTGGCTGACATCAGAATTGTTGTACAACGCCAATAACAATGCTTTCCCATAGGAAAGCATTGGATTGGCTGCAAATGTCAAGCAGGCAGATAAGGGACAGATCCAGCACAAGTCAAGCATCATCCTGGCCAGTCAGCATCTCCTCATGGAAATGCACTGAATCAATGTATCTCTGTGAGGAAAGTTCTGTGTCTCCATGCAGAGGGATGAGACCAATGTCGGTGCTGCTCACTGTGCAACACTGCCCCAGGAAGCACCTCTAGTAGCCATCTGAGGAGTGGCCAGTGGAGGTATCCCTAAACTGTAATATAAACACTGTCTATTCTCTGCAAAGACAGTGTTTACTGCAAAAAAGCAAAATAATTTTTTATACTCACCAGAAAAAAAAAAATACAATAAGCTGTAGTTCTGGTGACTATAGTGTCATTTAACTGCTTTCATTAGAGAAAGCAAAATAATGCTTAACTAAGAAGCAATAATATTACCACCACAAATCCTTGAATTTTACCAGTGTGATTAGAATATGAAAAGACTTGAACAATGTAATACCTGGCTTGGGAGTTTCATTGGTGGTTTCTTCAACAACGTCTTTCTTCTGCTCGGTTTCTTCGACAATATTCGGTTTCTTTTGTTGGGGAATAATTTTCAGCTTTTGCTTCAAAGGTTTGATTTCAAAAGCTTGAAAAACCTTCACTGGAGGCTTCTCCACTTTTTCCTCAGTTTGTGGGGTTGAAACTGTTACATTACCAACTACAATACTTTTTTCTTTTTTATTATTTGTCTCTGTCGTGGTAGTAACTACACGCTCAGCTTCTTTATTATTTTCTTGTATGTTCAGAACTAGTTTCTCATCCTTGTTAATGGATTCAAGTTCAAGCTTTATCTGCTTATACTTTAAAAGCAGATCTTCGAAGCTCTCTTCTTCACAGTTCTCGTTTCTTTGAGGGTGAGCAGATTTCCTGAGTGGAGACCTCACAAAATTCTTATCTGAGAGAATGGTCAAGCAAACATAACTACAGAGGGCATTTTGATATGGAAAATGACCTGGGTTTGAAGAGGCAGGTGGCATAATGCCAAAATAAATGTCTGACATGTCTTCATGTTCGATACAGTTGAACACATAGTTATGATTCAATGCAAACAGCAGAAAACAGACATACTACTTTTAAAACAAGGATTGCATTATAGAAAAATTGAATTTAACTGTTCGGTTTTCATTTGAAATATATATGACAAGCAAATATATCTGGATGATATATACTACGGTTGAGATACAGGTTAAAGGTTTATAGGGAACTAAAGGAAATCCAAATCAGTAGCAGCAATCATTTTTCATTCAATCCATAAAATTCTTTGTTGATTGTGCACTCCAATAAAATAAGATGGATACCCCCTTATCAAAAACACGCAAAGGTGAAATACATCACCAAGGTTTTGACTTATTATAGGGACACGGACCACCAAGGTGTTTATATCATGGCTCTGCAGTCTCACTGCCCAATATTCTACCATTTAGGAATGAAATAATTTTGTTTATGCAGCCCTGGCCACAACTCCTCTGAATGTGACAAACTTCCTATAGAGCGAGATCTAATTTTTATTTTACTGCAAAGTGTGTTTAATTTAGAATTTCTTATTTCCTGCTCTGTTAAAATCCTGCAGAAGCCTCCTGTGCATGACTAAAGTTAAATTTACAAGGAGGAAAAAAAAAAAAAAACATCTAAAAGTAAACACACTGTGCTGTACAATCTGATTGAAAATCAAGCAGTACGAGTACCAGTTGGGGGGAGGTGGTTAGGGTTGCAGAAACAGAAGAAAAAAGTGAACTACTAAATTGCAGATAATTGAGAAGAGAGACTGCAGGAGTCTGATGTATAAAGCAAAAAGCTTAATTACACCTTGTGGATGGTGGGCGTGCTATGTCGTCCTTCGGGACCCGGCTCTTAACGAAGTCGGGTGGCATAGCACGCCCACGCCATGCATGGGTGGGGGGGACTTACCTGGCATCCCAGGGACTCCCCCTGCTGCCAATCTGGCCATCCTGAGCCATGTGATAGCGAGGTCCTTGTGATGGTTAATCCAACCTCAGCCGCTAGAGGCGCTTCTGCGACGCTGGATGCGAAAATCTCATCTAGCGTGCAGGACGTCCATAGGAAAGCATTTCTCCCATTTTTTTTATACATCTTATTCATATTAAAATATGTTTCATAGCTAAATAGTTGATGTTAAATAAAAGCCCTATTTCTCCTAAATACAAGGAGTAGTGTGGGTGCACTTAATATAAAAAAGGTAAATAACGGTTGAACAGACATATGGTTACATTACAAGTTTTGATTAAGTTTTATTTTGATCAAAACTTGTACATTTGGATCAGTCCTTAAGGAGTTAAAAAATGTTTTGGTGCTTATAGTATCTATTTAAGCTATGTTTAGAGTAACACTAAAAACAGTTGGAAAAAATATATATCTTTATACATCGCTATTTAGTAGATATACTCCCATAGAATACATGCATTCATTTGTTTATGCATATAGTCATCTAAAAGGAATGTGCAAATGCTGCACTTCTAATAACTGCAGCCTTTACAGGCCCTTCCCTTTTTAGACTTGCTTATTGAGAAGCATCTGAGTCTGTGCATGGGTCAGCTCATATTCGTGCATGTGTGCCTGGTCTGAAGGACACTGGTCTTAGGTCTGTGAGCAGCAACAGGGGGAGAAGGCAGGCGTGCTCAAATAAAGTACCCATTTTTATGAGAAATTGGCACCTTTATAAACTGGAGTCCATTTTTTTTTTTTTTTTAAGTTACTTCTCACCCATAAGACACTTCAGCTTTATGGGTTTCGAGTGGTCCTTAAGAACCACATGAAGAGAACTGAACATTATCCATCTGACATAATTAAAACAAAGTAGCATATTATTATATCTATACATGTAGCATCCTATGCTAACAAGGATCTGTAACAATTCTCACCCTGGCACTTGGCAAATTAAAAATAATGTCAGTTTGGAAATAAGAACCAGTTCATGAATGCATGTGTAGTTTCAGTAAAGTGCTAGAATAAAGACCCTTGGCTAGCATGGGAAAACGTAAATATGTACATCCCTGCCCAGGTTAAAGCGCTACACGACACTGTACCCCAACAAAACATTGGCAGTGTTTCAAAACCTTTACTGTAAACATATTTTGTTTAAAATTGATATAAATCCAGTCATGGCATTAGCTACTTGAAACATATTAGTTCAGACAATTATTACAAAGTTGTTGCCTCATGCAAGTCTTAAAGAGCTTTCAGTGCCAGAGGACGACACTATGTATCAAGGGAATTCTAGTTACCACACATACACCATGGCTAATTATATCTTATACAAAACATAGGCATTGAAAATGACAGTACAATGGAAAGAAAATGATCAGTATTAGGCAGAATTTATGTTGGTCCTGTGATTGCAAGTGTACCCTACTGTTTTCTGTCAATGAGAGCAATGATTATGTTTCATTGTGGTGAGTCAGATGCAATTTAAAGGATCACTATAGGGTCAGGAACACAAACACGTATTCCTGACCCTATAATGTTAAAGGGACACTCCAGGCACCCAGACCAATTCACCTAACCCTGCAACTATAATTATTGCAGTTTTTATAAACTGCAATAAATGACCTTGCAGGGTTAACTCCTCCTTTAGTGGCTGTCTACAACACAGCCACTAGAGGGCACTTCCTGCATCATAGCACAGGTTTTCTGTGCTAGAGCGTCGCTGGACGTCCTCACGCTGTGTGAGGACCTCCAGCGTCGCTCAATTCCCCATAGGAAAGCATTGAAAAGCATTTTCAATGCTTTCCTATGGAAAACTCTAATGTGCATGCACGTTAGATCTCCTCAGCCAGCGGGATCGATCAGTCTCCCCCGCCGGCTGACGTATTAAAGGGGAGGAGCGTCAGCGACCCGGAACCACCGCCGAGAGACATCGGCGGGGGTCTCAGGTAACTCACTGAAGGGCTTTTCACCCCTTCAACAGCCGGGGATGGGTGGTGGGAGGGAGAGGGGACCTGCAGTGCCAGTAAAACAGATTGTTTTCCTGGCACTGGAGAGTCCCTTTAACACCACCATCTAGCCCCCTTTGGCTCTCATGCCTCCTTAAACATAGCAAAATCTTACTGTATTCAAGCTTGAAGCTGTAACTCTGCATGTTGTTTGTCTCAGAAAAACAAGCAGTCTGCTGACATCAGAAGCGGTAGTCTGATCCAATCACAATGCTTCCCCATAGGATTGGCTGAGACTGACAAAGAGGCAGATCAAGGGCAGAGCCAGCATGATTCAAACACAGCCCTGGCCAATCATCATCTCCTCATAGAGATGAATTGAATCAATGAATCTCTATGAGGAAAGTTCAGTGTCTGCATGCAGAGGGAGGAGATACTGAATGTTTGGGTGCATTTTATGCAGCCATGACCCAGGAAGCACCTAACAGCCATCTGAGGAGTGGCCAGTGAAGTGATCACTAGGTTGTAATGTAAACACTGCATTTTCTGTGAAAAGACAATGTTTACAGCAAAAAGCCTGAAGGTAATGATTCTATTCACCAGAACAAATTCAATAAGCTGTAGTTGTTCTGGTGACTATAGTGTCCCTTTAGGGGTCACCAAGCACTAAAACCACTACAACGTGCTATATGGTGCTAGGAGTCCCCATGCACCATCCAGTGATAATTTATGAAACATTTATATGAATGGTTTGACATTAAACTTGACGTCTCAACACCTATGGCCCTTATGGCTTGAGTGGCTACAATAAAGCAGAAATTCCTACTAGTGCATTATGATAACTCATAAAAGAATGTGCTTTACTGGTTATGGTGCTTATAGAGTGTCCCTTTTAGGTTTTGTTAATCACTAAGAAGTGTTTAAAAAGTATGTATTAGCAAAGCTTGTGTAGAAATGCAGGTATAAGGTTTAATCTTAATGTCAGCATAGCAAGTGATTGAGGGAATTAAAAAAATAAAATAAAGGCATCTAAGCTATGGAGGCGGGAGTTAGGGCACAAAGAGAGGAAGGGGGAGAACACAGACGCTGCATTGTGTGCTGAGCGGCGAGGAATGCGGCCGCCACCTTGGACCAGTCGCCGCTCTACTGAAGCTATTGAAGAACCCTTAGAAAATCCATCTCACAAAGGTAAGTGAAGGACTTGGGGCACTTATAGTCCTTAATACCCCTACCACTTAGTCCCAAATACCCCTACCCCATGTCATTAATACCCCTACAGTGTTAATACCCCTACCCCAGCACTAGGTGTATTAACACTGTGTGTGCTGGGGTAGAGGTATTAAGAACTATGTGTGCTGGGATAGGCTGGGGTAGAGGTATTAACACTGTAGGGTATTAATGACATGGGGTAGGAGTATTAAAGGGCAGGACTTGGGATATTAAGGGGTAGGGGTATAAAGGGGTAGGACTAGGGGTATTAAGGACTATAAGTGCCCCAAGTCCTTCACCTTTTGAGAGATGGACTTTCTAAGGGTTCTTAAATAGCTTCAGTAGAACGGCGACCGGTCCAAGATGGCGGCATTCCTCGACGCTCAGCACACAATGCCATAGACGTGCGGCATCTATGTGTTCTATGTCTATGGGAGAACACACTAGGTTTAAAGACCCTGTAACCTGTATATTATATATCCCATATGCGATAATCCCAGACCCTGTAAGCGTTATATATGCTATAATATAAGAATATTCTATAATATAAACGGTACATATGCCATAATCCCAGGCTCTGTAAGCAGTACATATGCCATAATCCCAGGCCCTGTAAACGGTACATATGCCATAATCCCAGGCCCTGTAAACGGTACATATGCCATAATCCCAGGCTCTGTAAGCGGTACATATGCCATAATCCCAGGCCCTGTAAACGGTACATATGCCATAATCCCAGGCCCTGTAAACGGTACATATGCCATAATCCCAGGCCCTGTAAGCGGTACATTTGCCATAATCCCTGGCCCTGTAAACGGTACATTTGCCATAATCCCTGGCCCTGTAAGCGGTACACTTGCCATAATCCCTGGCCCTGTAAGCGGTACATTTGCCATAATCCCAGGCCCTGTAAGCGGTACATATGCCATAATCCCTGGCCCTGTAAACGGTACATATGTCATAATCCCATGCCCTGTAAACGGTATATATTCTATAATCCCTGTAAACAGCATATATCCTATAATCCCTGCAAGCAGTATAAATTCTATAATCCCTGCAAGCAGTATAAATTCTATAATCCCTGCAAGCATTATAAATTCTATAATCCCTGCAAGCATTATAAATTCTATAATCCCAGGCCCTGTAAGAAGTATATATTCTATAATCCCAAACCCTGTAAGAAGTATATATTCTATAATCCTAAACCCTGTAAGAAGTATATATTCTATAATCCCAGGCCCTGTAAGCAGTATATATTCTATAATCCCAGGTCCTGTAAGCGGTACATATTCTATAATCCCAGGCCCTGTAAACAGTACATATGCCATAATCCCAGGCCCTGTAAACAGTTCATATGCCATAATCCCAGGCCCTGTAAACAGTACATATGCCATAATCCCAGGCCCTGTAAACAGTACATATGCCATAATCCCAGGCCCTGTAAGCGGTACATGTGCCATAATCCTAGGCCCCGTAAAAGGTACATATGCCATAATCCCAGGCCCTGTAAACTGTACATATGCCATAATCCCAGGCCCTGTAAACTGTACATATGCCATAATCCCAGGCCCTGTAAGTGGTGCACATGCCATAATCCCAGACCCTGTAAGCGGTACATATGCCATAATCCCAGACCCTGTAAGCGGTATATATATATATATATATATATATATAAAAAATAAAGTAATAGGTAATAGCACTCCAAGGACTTCAAAAAGTATAAGGTGAAAAACTTAGCTTTTATTCAGCAGCTGCCACACAGAATCGACGTTTCAGTTCTAATACAGAACTTTCATCAGGATCCTGATGAAAGTTCTGTATTAGAACTGAAACGTCGATTCTGTGTGGCAGCTGCTGAATAAAAGCTAAGTTTTTCACCTTATACTTTTTGAAGTCCTTGGAGTGCTATTACCTATTACTTTATTTTTTATGTTATTTGCCTTATCAGCACCAGGCACTAACCTACTATCACAGGAGTGCAAGTATTTGGACATTATATATATATATATTTATTTATTTTTTCTATAATCCCAGGCCCTGTAAACAGTGTATATATGCTATAATTCCAGGCCCTGTAAACAGTATATATTATATTCTATATTCCCTGTATGCAGTATATATTATATTCTATATATTCCCTGTATGCAGTATATATTATATTCTATATATTCCCTGTATGCAGTATATATTATATTCTATATATTCCCTGTATGCAGTATATATTATATTCTATATATTCCCTGTATGCAGTATATTATATTATATATTCCCTGTATGCAGTATGTATTGTATTGTATTGTATATTATATGCTATGTTCCCTGTTGGGCCCACACGTGGTTTCTGGGTGAAGGATACTCTTTCTCGGGGAAGGTTCCGGCCAGTTGGAGCTGCTGCTCGGTCTCTGGCCGCTGCCTCTCCCCGCCCGGTCCCCCCAGTTTCTCTCAGGGAAGCGGCCCCCGAGGCCCCGGCCCACCCAGCCCGGCCTGGAGCGGAAGCGGCCCAGCGTGCCATGGCTGCGCTCCCAGAAGGAGGGCCTCTGGCCGCCGTCCCCGGGCTGGGGCTGCATGCGGGGCGGGGGCGGCCGGTACTGCTCCTTGGGTAACCGGTAACCGTGCTGCGGCTGCTGCGGGGGCGGCGGGCGGGGCGGGCGGGCCCGGTGAGGGTAGCCGGCGGGGGGGCCGCGGTTGGTCGCTCTCGGTCTGACGGGCTTGGGGCTCTCCGGGCGGACGCTGTCGTCGCTGAGCTCCCCGTCTTCGAGCTCGCCTTCTTCCCTGGGGGAAGCCGCGCGGAGCGCCGCCGGCTCGGTCATGGCGGCTCGGAGTCCCCCCCTCTCTCTGACGCCGAATGGTACGGTCTGCGAGTCCCGGACACTCCGCTCTGTCTGCGAGATCCCGTCAGCCTGCTCGCGCTGAGCTCCCTGGCAAATCTCGCGAGAGTCGGTCCGTGACGTCAGCTCTCTCAGCCACACGTCACTGGAGAGGAATTCTCTCCCCCTCCCTCCCAGCAGTAAGGAGAGTGTGGGGGTCTGCCAGCAAGCTTATACTGAAATATGAAAATAGCTGATTTGGACAAATTATTCACCTCAGCTACAGTCATAGCTTGCCTGGCTGTTTTGGTCTCAAATTTGCAATTTTTTGGTTAACAAATTGCTATTTAGTAAATAAACCCCTTTACATGTAATGGTGGAGGATTCAGGCAACTCCACATTTTAGGCAAAAATTGAATAAAAATGAAATGACAAAATGTAACCAGCCAAAGTTATAAAAAGAAAAATACAAGCACCATATCCACTGTAGTACACTATAGTGGTTATGGTGCCAAGAGTGACCTGACACCCCTTATTCCCCATTGTAAGGAGTGAAACCATTTTTTGGAACGGTTTGACTCCGTTACAGGTGCCCCCTGAGTGCCACTTTCTGCACACACAACTTCAGAGAGCGGGAGGGACACTCACCAGAACCGTTTAATATAGTGTGTGTGGTAAAGAGACTGTCTGCAGTCTTAGAAATATAAACTCTGCCTTTTCCGTGAATAGACAGTGTTTACATTGTTGCTAAGGGCACCTCTAGTGATTGCAACTCAGACAGTCTCTAGAGGTGCTTTCCATTATCACCATGAAATTTGTGCGTGAAGATACTGAATGCTCCCCATAGAGATGCATTGAGATAATATGTCTCTGTAAGTAGATGATACCCAGCAAAGCTAAGTGATTGTTGAACATGCACAGTAGACCCCACGAAAAAGCATTACATTGACTGTGAACATCATCATTGATGACCACAGCCATGGGAGTAGAGACGGTCATGGCAATACCGCTGTGGTAAAGGATTAAAGACACCACAGTCTTAATTTTTTTCATAAACTATGTTATGTATAATATTGTTTTAACACAATCAAATAGCTAACAAAAGATGAGACATTCAAGGCACTATAACCACTTCATCACGTTGAAGTGTTTTTTTTAAAGCCTAGAGTTTGATGGTGCCATTTTGAAATATTTTAGAATAATTTAACACTGAATGAGGATCCCTGGCTGCCCGCAGTTCATATCCTTTGTGCTGGTCAAGCTAATATGTCTGCATTAGTGCAAGGAGCGATGGAAGACAGTGATTGGCTGATAACCTCAGCTAACCGCTATCAAACTGTACATTGCTGGTATGGATTGGTATAGCAACAGGGGGGTGTAATCGCCACATTAGTCATTCTTCCGCCATTCTTCCAGCAGGGGCTACGGACCCTTGTTCAGCATGAAACCATTTGAAAACAGTTTAACACCATTGAATAGAACAAGAAAAGTCTGTTAACGTTCTTGGTTGGTATCTGCTTCTACTGACCCCCAAAGCTGCTGAGACCCAGTGGAAACCCTGGTTATAGAGTGATTACCCAATCTTATAGTACTGAGTACAGTACAACCAGAGAACGTTTGTAAGAAAATATTATTTAATACATGCATACAACCAAAACAAATAATATTAAAACAGAGCAATGCAAAACAATCCCAAAATTAAACCAAACTTAAAAGGATCGGGTTAGGGCATGTTGCTGCTTCGGTGGTTGTGGTTAATGCTGCTTTCTTGCGTTGATCATCAATACAGTTCTGGTTGTAAAACACCATCTGAGGTGACGACAAAATCTCTGCTGCTAGTGGAACCTGGCATATGTGATCATGATTTTTACATTGTGGTGGGTTTACTCTCCTGTGGAACCCATCTTAGAATGTTTAACATTTTCCTCTTTCTCTCTGATCTTTCCATGGTCTACATTTTTAAAATCAGAGGGATTTTCTGTAGACATCTCCCATTTTATAGATAAACAGCATTAACCATTGGATACAATGAGAAAAATCCAGGAATGTTCCTGTGATGTCAGCTTCTCAGACCCCTGTAGGAACTCAAGTTTTATAGAGCTATCCAGCCATAAAGTGCTCTATATAGTGGGACTACATCAATATGGCAATGGCATCAGAGCAGCTAAGCTTCAGATCCCTTGTTGTTCCATAAATCCATCGCATTTATTAGCTGTGTAAAAAATAAAAAGAAGGAAAATAGTTCAGTTAATATGATATTTAAAGAACTGGGTGCAAAAAAAACCACAAAAAAAACAAGACTTAAGAGGTGAATACAATGTATTATGATTTTTAAGAAACAGCAATATGTGTCAATATAAGCAATTTTGGTATTGCAATAGAAAAACCTACTTTTCTAATCAACTAGTATCTGCTCTGCGTCTATTCAGTTCAATATTCTTTATATATGGTGTGCAAATGATAACAAAAATCTTGGTAAGCCACAACAATGTTCACACACCTAGATAAAATAGGTTTTTGGAAATAGTGACATTTAGATAGACACATTTTTTAAAATTATAATACTATATATTTCAAATTATAGTATGCTAGAAAAACATGTCTAAGATCTGGGTAATACTTATCACCATGGGCATCCATGGCGGGGGGGGGGGGCAAGAGGGGGCACTTGCCCCCCTGGATTTTTCAGCTTGTGCTGCTATTTTTGGTTTCAGTGTGAATGGAGAAAGGCAGGAAGCTACAGCTTATCCTTGCTTCTCTCTCATGACTGAAACCGCAGGGGAGCAGCACAGAGGCAGCCTACAGATCAGGTAAGTGAAGGATGGGGGAAACAGCATAGAGGAAGGTAAAGTAGAAGGAGCAGAAAGGTTCTGTAAGGAATAGAAAGGGGCAGCAAGAAGCAGGAAGGGGTAGGAAAGGTTTGCAAGGAGCAGGAGGGTAAAGTAGAAGGAGCAGGAAGGGGCAGCACAGAGTAGAAAAGGTCTGCAAGGGACAGGATGGGTCAACAAGGAGTAGGAAGAGGCAGCAAGGAGCAGGAAGGGTCTGCATGGAGAAAGAAGGGGCAGCAAGGAGAAAGAAGGGGCAGCAAGGAGCAGGAAGGGTCTGCAAGAAGCAGGAAGAGACAGCAGGGAGCAGGAAGAGTCAGCAAGAAGCAGGAAGGAGCAGGAAGGGGCAGAAAGAATCAGAAGGAGCACAAAGGGTCAGCAAGGGGCAGAAAGAAGCAGGAAGGGGCAGAAAGAAGCAGGAAGGGTCTGCAAGGAGCAGGAAGAGGCAGAAAGGAACAGAAGAAGCACAACGCTGGAAAGAAGGGGCAGCAAGGAGCAGGAAGGGGCGGAAAGAATCAAAAGGAACAGAAAGGGTCAGCAAGGGGCTGCAAGAAGCTGGAAGGGGCAGAAAGAAGCAGGAAGGGTCTGCAAGGAGCAGGAAGAGGCAGAAAGAATTAGAAGGAACAGCAAGGGGCTGCAAAAGCTCAACGGGGCAGAAAGAAGCAGGAAGGGGCAGCAAGGAGCAGGTAGGGTCAGCAAAGAACGGGAAGGGGCAGTAAGGAGAAAGGAGGGGCAGCAAGGAGTAGGAAGGGTCAGCAAGAAGCAGGAAGGGGCAGAAAGAATCAGAAGGAGCACAAAGGTAAAGTAAGAGAAGGAACAGAAAGGGTCAGCAAGGGGCTGCAGGAAGCTGGAAGGGGCAGAAAGAAGCAGGAAGGGCAGCAAGAAGCAGGAATGGTCTGCAATGAGCAGAAAGGGGCAGGAAGGGACAGAAGGAGCACAACGCTAAAGAAGCAAAAAGAAGCAGCAAGGGGCAAGGGGGGTCAGCAAGGAGTAGGAAGGGTCTGCAAGGGGCAGGAAGGAGCAGCAAGGAGAAAGAAGGGGCAGCAAGGAGTAGGAAGGGGCAGAAAGAATCAGAAGGAACAGAAAGGGTCAGCAAGGGTCTGCAAGAAGCTGGAAGGGGCAGAAAGAAGCAGGATGGGTCTGCAAGGAGAAGGAAGGGTCTGCAAGGAGCAGGAAGGGGCAGAAAGAATAAGAAGGAACAGAAAGGGTCAGCAAGGGCTGCAAGAAGCTCGAATGGTCTGCAATGAGCAGAAAGGGGCAGGAAGGGACAGAAGGAGCACAACGCTAAAGGAGCAGAAAGAATTAGCAAGGGGGGTCAGCAAGGAGTAGGAAAGGTCTACAAGGGGCAGCAAGGAGAAGGAAGGGTCTGCAAGGAGCAGGAAGGGGCAGAAAGAATCAGAAGGAACAGAAAGGGTCAGCAAGGGGCTGCAAGAAGCTGGAAGGGGCAGAAAGAAGCAGGAAGGGGCAGAAAGAAGCAGGAAGGGTCTGCAAGGAGCAGGAAGGGCCTGCAAGGAGAAGGAAGGGTCTGCAATGAGCAGAAAGGGATCAGAAAGAGAAAGGAGCAGAAGGGCGCAAAATAAGCAGAAAGTAGCAGAAAGAGCCTCAGAAGAAAAAGAAGACTGTGTCAAATGAAGGAGAAGAAAATGAGACATTGGAGCACTTCATTCTGGACACCACATCATAAGGCATTGGTACCTCGGGCGTGGCAGGGAAACTTTGGGCCTTTTCATCTTCCCCGGTAAAAAAAAATATCAGTGTTAATGTGTTCACTTTTACTTACTGAGTGTCAGGAGGGCCGCTGGGTAGGGGTGCCGCTGATTGGCTAGAGGGTAAGCTGGCACTCTAAGCCAAGCAGTAGCTCACCATTCATAAAAACGTAAAACATTTTTATGAATCGGGAACTAGCAATTGGCTTAGAGCGTCAGCTGACCACTCTAGCCAATCAGCGGCACCCATGCCTGATGTCAATCTGCACTTCCTGACACTCCGTTTAAGAAGCCGAATACCACTGAGCGACCTGGAGATCTGGAACTTGAGGAAGCCTTTGGGGGTAAACCATTTGAGAGCGGTTTCACCCCTTAAAAGAAAGAGAGTGCCCAGGGGCCTCCTTGCATCATAGAATTTTCATTTACATGAAGTTGTTATGGTGACCAGAATGTTCTTTTAATTTGATTAAAGGAACACTATAGTGTCAGGAATACAAACATACATTCCTGACACCATAGTTGTGAAAACGCTATTCACCCTGGCTTTATGTGAAAATGACTATGCTCCTTCCCTTTCATGACACTGTCAAAAAGGGGCAAAGCATGGATGTCATTACAATTATGCTCTCCCCTGGAAAAATTCCTGCGGACGCCCATGCTTATCACACTAGAGAAAACTATTAGACATGGTTAGTTGTAGGTCATAATAGAATAAATCAGGCAAATAAAACAGGTTGAACAATATGGAATGAGGTATACATCACTTGTAAAATAAAAACTGTTAACAGCATGCCATATGCAGTATAGACCCCTGACCCCCACAGACAGCCCCAGACAGGTTAATAGCTGGAGGAATAGTATTTTTTTTAAAGGCATAATGCCCTGTTGGGCACTATTCTTTACCCATCCCGCACCAACTCTAAAATAAGTTATAAAAACGGAAGCTATAATCTACCTGAAACCTAATCCGGGTGAAGCAATCAGCGTTGCGTTCCACCGTTTAATAAGAAACAGACCTTATATAAAATAGGATGTATTATTGGGCATCAATCTGATGTCAAAAGTGAGAGCATATTTTGTGTAAATATGTATACAGAGAGATGGATGTCTATCGGGTGTGCAGCGTTGTGAAAGCAGAAGAACGTTGCGGCATTGGGTATTTGCAGTTGTAATTGCAATTATTCAACCCCTAATCAGGTTTGTTGTTAAAATTTCCAGACTTTCAGCTGTATGCAATGAACAAATTAAACAAAAGCAATTTAACCCATTCCTGAGCACGGACGTCCTAGGTACGTCTGACAAATATGGTCCTTAAAGGACCACTATAGGCACACAGGCCACTTCAGCTTAATGAAGTGGTCTGGGTGCCAGGTCCACCTAGGATTAACCCTTTCTTCTATAAACATAGCAGTTTCATAGAAACTGCTATGTTTATAATAGGGTTAATCCAGCCTCTAGTGGCTGTCTCATTGACAGCCGCTAGAGGCGCTTCCGCGCTTCTCACTGTGATTTTCACATTGAGAAGACGCCAGCGTTGAGAATGCTTTCCTATGGACCTATATAAATATGTATATATATTTAAATTCTACATGCATATTTATGTAATAGTAAACATATCACAGTGATGATATTGTCAGTGAAAGTGATGTTTTTTGCATTTTTCACACACAAACTGCTGATATCATTGTTGTGATATGTTTTACTGTTTTGAAACACTAATATTTGTGTTCGGCAAAGTCTCCCGAGTATAACAGTATCCCCAATGTACAGGTTTTAAAATGTTTTTGAAAGTTACAGTGTCAAATATAAGGCTTGATTTTTCATTTTTTTCACATTGAAATTTGCAAGATTGGTTATGTTGCCTTTGAGAGCGTATGGTAGCCATAAAATGAGAATTACACCCATATTGGCATACCATTTATAAAAGAAGTCAACCCAAGATATTGCAAATGGGGTATGTTCAGTCTTTTTTAGTAGCCACAAACGCTGGCCAAAGTTAATATTCATAATAGTTTTTTGCACTTTTAACACACAAACAAATATAAATGATAACTTTGGCCAGTGTTTGTGACTAAGTGGCTACTAAAAAAGACTGGATATACTCCATATTGAATACTCTGGGTTTTCTACTTTAAAAAATATGTACATATAAGGTGTGATTCAGAGATTTATGACAGATAACAGTGATATAATGTCACTATTGATACATTTTAAATATACATATTTTAAAACAGCAATGTCCTACTTGTACTTATAGCCCTATAACTTACAAAAAAAAGCTGAGAACATGTAACATTGGGTATTTCTAACTCAGAAAAAAAAACGTAAACTATTTAGCACGGGTGTTTTTTGGCGGATGTAGATGCAGATTTTGGGGGTCAAAGTTAGAAAAAGTGTGTTATTTAACATTTTTTCATCATATTTTATATCTTTTGTTTATAGTAAATTATTTGATATGATGAAAATAATGGTATCTTTAGAAAGATCATTTAATGGCGAGAAAAACGGTATATAATATGTGTGGGTACAATAAATGAGTAAGAAGAAAATTACAGCTAAACACAAACGCCAAAGAAATGTAAAAACAGCCCTGGTCCTTAAAGGTCTGGTCACTGAGGGGTTAAATAGCTCAATACAACGAATGCTTCAAGTGGTTTCCCCAAATTCAACTTATACTTTTGATTACAACTGTATAGCCCCCCCAAAAAAGACCAGAAGATTTATGAGGAAGTCTATTAACTGGAAGACACATGTCAAGCGAGAGGTACTGTTTGTGTCACTGTTTTCATGAGTTTTAATTTATTTGTGAAAGTATTTTGCTAAATTGTCATAGTTCATTGCGCTATGATAATTTGTCCTTCCCATCCCTCTATTTGCTTATTCCTGGCTACTCATGGCAGCATCACTTGTGGGTAGCTCTCCCTTAGCAGTCACAGGACAGGAATTGATTAGATTAATTAGACTGATAGGTATAAAGAGTCCCTCCTCCCCTTACACCACAGTCTTTTTTCCTGTCCTTAGCTGGTTCTACAGGACTCTAAACACTTTCTTTTTTTGGCCACCTTCCTGCGTTTGTCGTGGGTTCTTTTCAAAGGAAGTTCAGCCTCTCTGCTGGGGTCTTTTGTTCTTTTCAGCTACAGGTTCCTCATTTCGAGTGCTGGAACGCGGTATGCATTCCAACGGGCGGAAGTGATGTTTATGGCTACCCCCGTGTGACTGGAAATGATGCGGGGGGACGCGCAGGTACAGTGCTTGAATTGTTCATCTTCTGCACCTTAATGGAAAGAAAATTTTCAGAGAGTGCTTATTGGAAATAGCGATGCTTCCAATAAAAGTTCCCAACAGCATGACCTTAAACTCTGGTTTTTCCAAGCTATTGCTGAATGCTTTAAGTCTACCACGGATAAAAGTGGTCCATATAAAAGACACAGAGCAGAACCTCAGTCTTCATGCTCTGAAAAAGACCCTGATATGTGGGATGTCTCAAATGATTGTGAGGAGGAAGTTGAATATACCTCCGGGTTTTTAGACTTTAAGTCTATTGATAGACTGATTACCCTTATCAGGGACACTCTTAGCCTCACGGAAGAGAAGTCAGAGTTGAGAGAGGCTGACCGGTTCTTTGAGGATCTGAATCCAAATAGACCAACATTTCCGGTGCATTCTTCTATTAAGGGCATGATCCTTCAAGAATGGAACAAACCTGAAAGGAAACCCACCTTAATGAATAAGGTTTCAAGGATTTATCCTTACTCAGCCATGATTCATACGGCTAAGAAAATGAACTCCATTAACTCCATGGCTTACCGATGGAAAAGCGTATGGATGGGGATCTCATAGAATACTATTTAGCCCTGGGCTCCACCCTCCATCCTGTGGTGGCCTTAACCAATCTCACATGGGCCTTAAGAGTGTGGATTGCTAATCTAGAGGTGGAAATTGACAGAGGAGTCTGCAGAGAACATCTTCTGGAATCTCTCAAGGACTTCAGCCTGGCTACGGTGTTCTGCTCAGATGCCTTTTTAGACATCACTCGTATGATTGTAAAAGGTATGGCCTTATCTGTAGCCTCTATAAGTTCCTTGTGGCTTCATTTGTGGGAAGCCGACTATGCCTCCAAGGCATTATTGTGTGGCCTTCTGTTTCTGGGGGATTTATTGTTTGGTACAACCCTGAATGAAGCCTTACAAAAGGCTGCAGATGGCAAAAAAAGCCTTTTTGCCGCAAGAAAGAAACATAGAAACATAGAATGTGACGGCAGATAAGAACCGTTCGGCCCATCTAGTCTGCCCAATTTTCTAAAATACTTTCATTAGACTCTTATATCTAAGATAGCCTTATGTCTATCCCACGCATGCTTAAACTCCTTCACTTTATTAACCTCTACCACTCATGCTTAAACTCCTTCACTATTTCACCAGATAGTGGCTCATCATACTCTAGTGACGATGAACATTCTTCGAGATCATGGCTGGCTTCTAAACATTCTAAACATAGAGAAGAACTCCCTGATTCCTTCTCAAAAGATTGTCTCTTTCTGGGAGCAGTGATGGATACAATCTCAGCCAATGTTTTTCTCTCTTTGGACAGGGCCCTGAAAATCTAAGACAAAATAGGAAAAATACAAAGTCTTAAAAAGGCCTCAGCGAGACAAGTCATGAGCCTCTTAGGTTCTCTGACATCAAAAATTGGGCTGGTAAAATGGGCCCAATAGTGGGCTCATCCTATTCAGCATTGCTTCCTTCTTCAATTCAACAGAATATAAGCAGATTGGGATCAGAGGATAACTCTGCCTTTCCCAGTAAGAAAAGGCTTAAACTGGTGGAAGGGCAAAAATAATTTGTCGGAAGGTTTCCCATTGGAGGAACCTTCTTGGAACATGATGGAAGTGGCCATAAACGGGCTTCGAGGTCTAAAGGTAATCTATTTTCCGGGTTCGGAGACCATTACTGCGGACTTCATCAGCAGAACAGAAATTCTTCCAGGAGAATGGTGGCTTCACCCGGCGTTTTTTTCATGGATTGCCCATCGGTGGGATATACCGCAGATCGACCTGTTGGTAAATTCCAGGAACTGTCAGGTAGAGAAATTCTACTCTCTCCGTCTAGACAATCGGGCAATGGGCCAGGATGCCCTTTCTCTTTCTTGGTCATTTGATCTGGGGTATACATTCCCTCCCCTACCCATGATACCCAGATTTCTGCTAAAGGTTTAAAAAAGGTAATTGCTATTATTCCGGTCCCTCTGCTTCTCCCAATAATGAAGGATCTGCTGAGTTAAGGTCCAATCTCCCACCCTCATCCAGAACACCTCAAGATGGGGGTATGGGTCTTCAAAAGGAAAGACTACATCCCTTAGGCCTCTCTGAAGAAGGGGATAATACACTTTTGGAGTCTAGGAAGGGTTCTACTTCCTCGTGCTACCATAGAATCTGGGACATATTCAGAGAATGGGCATCGACCAGGAGCATTGACTTCTTGCAACCTCGTAATACTCAGATCCTGGATTTCCTTCAGGAAGATCTGGACAAAGGCCTTAGCCTCAGCACTCTTAGAGTTCAGTCCTTGGCTCTTTCAGCATTATGCAATATCTCATGGGCTTCGGATCCTTTGATCTCAAGATTCTTCAAGGCAGACTTTAGCTTGAGACCTCCTTCCAGATCCGGTACCCATCCTTGGGACCTTGATCTTGTTCTCAATTAATTGAGTGATGATCTGTTTGTTCCCTTTTGAAAATTTGGATACTACCCTTCTGACTTACAAGATTTTGTTTTTCTACCATGACTTCCTGCCTACAAATCTATCAGGATTGGGTTTGTCTGAGACCAAAACCTGAGTTTCTTCCTAAGGTGGTATCTCAGTTTCATGTCTCTCAAGAAGTGGTCCTTCCATCATTGTATCCTAATCCAACTTTGGATGTTAAGAACTGTCTGTCTCAATACCTTCTTTGTTCTCAGTCATCCAGAAAGACTGACCAACTCTTTGTTCTACCTTCAGGAACTATTAGAGGTGAGGCAGCTTCTTTATCTACATTGAAATGTTGGGTTTTGCTAATAATCAGGAAAGCATATGTCTCTAAAGGTCAGTCTCCTCCAATAAAAATAAGAACACATTCTACCACAGCATTGTCGACTTCATGGGCTAATTTGGCAGAGGTTCCATACGATGATATATGCAGAGTAGCCACCTGGTCTTCCCTAATGACGTTCATAAAACACTACAAACTGGACGTAGCCTCTTCTTCCACCTCCTTTTCTGTGAGCTTGGGTATTACCCATAAGTGATGCTCCGATTAGCCAGGAATAGAGAACATTTATTACAAACTCACCGTAATCTTTTTTCCCCTGGCTATTTCTCATGGCAGCACTAGGGTTCCCGTCCATTCTTTTTTTTTCCAGCTTTATAATTGGACTGTGGTGTAAGACGAGGAGGGACTCTTTATACCTATCAGTCTAATTAATTAATCTAATCAATTTCTGTCCTGCGACTGCTAAAAAAAAAAAAATGTTTCAACTCTAAAGCTATAGTTACAGCTTGATTTATTTTTAGCCTAAATTTTGCGCTTCGGATTATAAATTCACTGTACTTAGATTTTTTTTTTGTGAATACATTCCTTTTAGCTACATTTTTCATTTTGGGTTTTAATGCAAGACAATTGAGAACTTAAAGAATAAACCTCTTTTAGTGAACAGCTGTCAAGAACTAAGTACTTACCTAAATCCAAAAGGTCCTGTTGGACACAGAATAAAAGTGGGTGCAATGGTTGGGTACCATTTAAAAAAAAAATAAAAAAAATATTGGTTTTATTTTTACATTAACATGTGGCACACAGATTATACAAAAGGTAACTATTGTTTTTTGGTTTTTTTTCTATCTAATATTCTGGCAGAGAGCCATTATTATTGAAGTGTCCCTTTAGCATAATGGTAAAACAACGTTTTGACATACTCTGCAGAGCCAGCAAACAAAGACCCAGGTAGACTATGCAATACCTGTCTCCTTGCTATGGCGAGCTGTTTGCTTTGAGCGTCAGTATATTTTGGACTCCAGTAAAATGGCCGCCTCCATAGAACGTCGCGCACTCTATTGCGGACATCGCATAGCAGAGCGTTTAGAACTCTAAGGAGCCTAGCGGAAGTGAAAGGTGGTCAGGAGAGTGATGGGTTTGGGTACCTTCGTGTATAGCGATAAGCTGTCTATAGACTGTACAGTATAGCGGGAATGGAGGCTGTTCTCCCTATGAACCAGTTATACAGCCGAGGAAGGTGGTGCAGAATTGGAATGAAAGTCCTTAGCCAGGTAAAGGGTGAAAATAATAAGTGTGCTCTCCCACGCTTTGGCCGAAACGTTGGCTGTTAATATTTTTGGCACATAACTATGAATTTCCTATTCTAATTTTAAAATAACTATTTGATCAAGGTGTATTGCATTAATACCTGCACCCTCATCATGATCTCTTGGTACATTAAAACAGGGATTACATCAGAGACAAAATACACCATCCTATTTTAAATGTTTAAAGTAGAGAAAATGTTTTAAAGTATATAGATATTCAATATTTGTAGAATTAATAGTTGTGGGTATATTTTATTATTCATTGTATTAAATAATTGCATGCCTCCCAACACTCTCAGATTTGGCAGGACAGTCCTGATTTGCTGCTCCGGTCCCAGTGTCTGGGTTCTGTAGACGCAAGAGAAATGTCTTCGTTACGCACAGTTTTAGACTGAAAGTGGCTTTGTCAGTGTGTGCGATTTTTAACTTCTACGGTGACTGCTTCACTTGGCAGTCCGGTGGCCACGGGGTGCAAAGGAAAGTGACCGGAATCTGTCCGTTGTGGCTGCCGCTATGGTCTTCCAGTTGGTCCTCTTCAGCCTACAACACTGAGGCTTATCAATGATCCAACAAGATCACAGTATCCTCCATAGACCGAGCCTTTTTCCATGCAGTTGTCACAAGTGACATCTGGAGGAAATGACAAAACTTGACAAAGATATCTCTGCCTTTTGTCAAGCACAGGCAAAATTCTTAGATAAAGTAATTGGTCGTTTGCCTTTGTATATCGTTTGTTAGAATGTCAGCGAAATTCCAACACAGTCAGTTTAAGTATTTCATAAGTATTTTATCTTTATGATATATTTATTTTATTTGGGGGGGGGTTGGGGGTAACAATGTAACTGTAACTTCTGCTCAGGAGCCAAATGAAACGTTTTTTCAGGCTGGGATCCTACAATTGTATTGGTATGCTTGCAGCCCAGCCCCCAGTGTATAAATGGCAAAGACGGAGAGTTGCTCCACTTTACACCATATCCGACACTGATAGGCAGAGAACATAAGCTGCTGCTCTCAAACAGTCACTACCTGCTCTTCTAGTGAAGTTACCATTGCAACATGTACCAAATTGCACAAAGCAGGATAGGTAAGTTAAAAATAGTAATAATTACTGACATAACCAACGCTGCACTCTTGTCGTGAATGACTTTATAAGCGCTTTACAAAATGCGTGATAGTACAGCATTGACTTTGGCTCCTGGCACAGAAGAGGAAGGACAATGGAGCCCGCTAGGGACAGCTTCAAGTAAGTAGAACTCACCTTTGCCTGCTCCACCAGACCCTCAGTGGCGATGTCACCATCTGGAGTTTTTGCAAATTATGCAAAGTTTCCAGGCAGTGACAATAACTTTGAATTCCTGATAATTATCACTTTAATAAATAACCCTGTTAGTTATTTGGTTGTGCAAAAATCTAGCAAGTTATTCTTCCTGTTTAAAGAGAAACTATAGGCTACGAATACACAATTGTATTCCAAGCACAATAGCTCCCTATAATGCCTCCCTCTCCCCAACCTGCCCCAGCGCAGAAAGGGTTAAAAACCTTTAATTCGCTTACCTGAAACGAACGCCGGTTCAGATTCCGCCTCCGCTTCTTCCACGACATCAGGTTCCTAATGCGCATGCACCAAAAGTCGCCCAACAACCCGGTTGCATCTGTAGTAGCTGTCCGCTTTCTCAATAACTGCAATAATTACCATGGCAGAGTTAAACTGATTGGGGCACTGCACCCAGACCACTTCAATGAGCTGAAGTGGTGTGGGTGTCGATACTATCCTTTTAAAGCTTGGCATCAAAATCTGGTTCACATTGCATTAAAGGACCACTATAGTGCCAGGAAAACATACTCGTTTTCCTGGCACTATAGTGCCCTGAGGGTGCCCCCACCCTTAGGGTCCCCCTCCCGCCCGGCCCTGGAAGGGGGAAAGGGGTAAAAACTTACCTTTTTCCAGTGCTGGGCGGGGAGCTCTTCTCCTCCGATCCTCCTCCTCTCCTCCCCATCGGCTGAATGCGCACGCGCGGCAATGCTTTCCTATGGACGCTTGCGTGCTCTCACTGTGATTTTCACAGTGAGAATCACGCAAGCGCCTCTAGTGGCTGTCAATGAGACAGCCGCTAGAAGCTTTGGGGGAAGGCTTAACCCATTCATAAACATAGCAGTTTCTCTGAAACTGCTATGTTTATAAAAGAATTGGTTAACCCTAGAAGGACCTGGCACCCAGACCGCTTCATTAAGCTGAAGTGGTCTGGGTGCCTAGAGTGGTCCTTTAAAGAAGAAGAAAGGTTAATATTGTTTTTGTTTCCTTATTTCTACATTTAATTTTGGGTTTTCTTTCCTCACAAACACTTTTTTTTTTTTTTTAAATCTACGGAGAAAATAAAAACAGAATACTAAAAATCCTGGTTAGTGACATTCCTGTTTAAGTTGTATTATGTAATAATTAAATAAATTGTTTTAAAAATAAAATAAAAAAAATAGGAACTAAATGACCTCAGTGAAGTAGATGTTAGATTTACATTTAGGAAAGTTATGTTAATACAGTGTGTATGAGTAATGTTTTTGTCCTTTTTCTTTAGGTTATGTGTTGAGCAGTCCTCATGCGGTTTATTCAGGACGACCTGCAAAAATCATATGTAACCATGATGATGAATATTATCATTCTGTGCATGATCCTATGCATATCTTTATCTTTCTGGATAATATCACTCACAGCAAGTACATACTATGGTAAGCCGTTTTGCATGTGGAATAAGTGAACATTTTGATTTGTACAATACTACTGAATGTGTGCAGTACAAATGGCTATACTCCATTATTGTAAGTAAATTACGTGAGCTTACAGCCATATGATTAATACATAATCTATGACAAAATGAATGTATTAAAATAAGGAAGGGAAGGATTCCATGCAGGAAAAAAAAATCTCACTGGTACAAATATAATATTATATGGAAACATCTTAAATGACATTTCAAGACAGTCTGTATCACAGCACAGAACTAGATACGGTCAGGAATAGTGTCTCTCAGGAGGACAATTCCCCCATCCCCCTTCTATATCCCTTTAAACATTTAAGTAAAGATTAAGCCTAATTAACCTTTGTTTCTCAGTAAGTTCAAGGTGGCCAACACGCAATGCAGAGGGTAGTAATACTTTTCTGATGCTGTGTCTTAAGGCTTCGTTCAGAACAGAACCCTTGCAGGTTGCTATCCATGCTATATTCAAGCCTTAGAGTTTGGCTAGGCTGCTTTATCACAGATCCAAGTACAGCCTGCTCCGTATGATGTTTCTTTCAGAAACCTTATAAAGCAATCTTTGTTATAGAGAAGAATATGGGTACAGTTTGTGCGTGTCAGGAGGAAAGTGGGGTTTACTATTAAAACGCTTCTTCCATTGGAGCTTCAAAAAGCAACATTCTATTATAAAATTAAAGCACTGTAAAAAATAAATAAAATTTTTTTAAAAATATTAATGCAGTGTGGATTTTTTTTTTGGAAAACAGTTTTTTATTGTTGTGGTTTTGTTACCTTTCACAGGTGATCTCACCCCAGTCTCTCCTTGGCGCTGGTTAGTGTCTGTAGTGATTCCACTTATCATCATAACTCATGGATTAAGAAAGAAGAGCCTGGATAACAGTGGAGCCCTTGGGGGTGTGTATGGGTTGTTTTTCTGTCTTATCCATCATTAGTGTAAAACACCCTCTATATGCCAAACTACTTTATATAGGGAAATTATAAAATTAGTCTTAAGGTGAAACTGATGATTTTACTGGATTGTGTAGTGTAGAGGTAAGCATAGCATACCTGGAAAATTTTCCCAGTTCGGCTACTTTGATTTGAATGTTTAAATTTTAGGTCAGATTGCTGACAATTCTCACTTTGTGAAAAACCCTGTGTATCTTTTCCAACCACTATTTTTTTATTTTTTTATTGAGCAATATTTAAATCAATCAGTATTAAAATTAAACAGTCTGTAAACCCATCCTGCAATTACAGAATTTTTGATGTGCTATTTTTATGCACTTAAAAGGAACACTATAGGGTCAGGAACACAAACATGTATTCCTGACCCTATGGTGTTAAAAACACTATGTAGCCCACTGCCCCCCTTGAATAATAGTAAAAACTCATCTTATTTCCAGCATCGCACTTGTCTGCTGGCGCTGGCTCTGCCCCTTATCTGCCTCCTTGGTTGACCTTATTAGAACTGGTGATGTCAGCCAATCACATAGCTTTCCCTTAGGCAGAGCGAAACGCCGCAGTGGCCATCAGCATGTTCTCATAAAAATGCATTGAATCAATGCATCTCTGTGGGGAAAGTTCAGCTTCTCAATGCAAACTGTGCAGCACTGACCAAGGAAGCACCTCTAGTAGCCATCTAAGGAGTGTTTCTAGGCTTCTCTGAAAAGATAGCGTTTTATAGCAGAATGCCTGCAGGGACTGACTATACTCAACAGAACAAGTACAATAAGCTGTAGTTGTTCTGGTGTCTGTGTTCTTAGTGTTAAATTCACAAGAAATGTATTATTTTGGTCTTAGATGCAGTCTTGCTTTATATAATTATGATCATTCACAGAATTCCGTACGCCCCAACTGCTGGTTTGGAGTCCACGCAGAGTTTAATAGTGACTTTAGGCAGCAGAACTTTTGTAACATTGCTTCTAACCTGCCTACTGAGAGCTTATTTTATTTAACTTGCTAATCAAGTGCCCAATGCGATAACTTTTTTACTTTATTAACGCTGATCTTCTATTAGCTCCCCATAATCTGCCAATTTTAAAAGGTTACTTCAACAACCATCATCGTTTCCCCTTTTAGAAGTGGTCATGGTGGTTGGAATCTGTATGTGCAACGTTTCTGGTTGAAACGCTGCACATACAAAGATCTATTCACTTTTAGGCAGCTTGGAGCTCTGTCCAATAGAAATCTACATTTCTTTATATCATCAAGATGCATCCAACTCGTGTTTGTGTGTGACATGGAAGTGTTACTGAGCGAAATGCTTGAACTCTTTCCCTTATGCACCACAGAAAGGCATCCAGACAACCTGGTATATGTTTCACTGCACTGGTTGTGCAGACTGTAGTTGTAGAGCTGCATTGGGTGCAACTGCTATCAGCTTGGGCAGCAGTCCTATTCACATTTTAATTTATGCACCACCAGCAAATTCATCAGCACTCAACAATGGGTAGATGAGTTCTACTAGTAATTGTAGCAAGTTTCATTTATCACAACCTATTTTAATTATGCTTGGGGGGAAATCATTAACCCTTTAATTACTAAGTGAAATACATGCACTAAGAACACACATTATCTGTTACTTGTGGTAGGAACTCCGTGTTCCTGTATTGTGGCTTATTGTGATCTTGGGAATGTCTTAATATACTTCCTGTATAGAGTTAGATGTAGCTGGCTTTGGCAAAATTTGAAATCGGATGAACATCGCTCGAATGAATGTATCTGCTGAATGTTGAAAAGTAGAAATAAAATAAGATTTACATATTATAAACGAAAATGGAGGAAGAGGATACCCCACGTATGCAGTATTCCAGCGTTAGCTAAGCCAACCCTGTATTAATATGTGCTTTATTCTTTGCCCTGTAGGACTTCTGGTTGGTTTCATCCTCACTGTGGCCAACTTCAGCTTTTTCTCCTCTCTACTGGTTTTCTTCATCACCAGCTCCAAACTCACAAAATGGAAAGGCGAAGTGAAAAAGCGCTATGATTCAGAGTATAAGGAAGGTAATTTAGAAACATATTTTGCAATGTAGTGTGTTTTGTTGGTAAATTATTTGTGTGAGAGTATATTTTGAAAATGTGTTTTGCTATCTTGTGAATTGTTCAGTTCAACTTTTTTTATTGTTTACATTAAAAAGCCTGCACAGGGGGGTGGCACTGATCAAATGTGATCATTACTAATTAAATGCTCATAGTGAAGTACTTGACTTATTTTCTTAATGTCAAAAAAGAGGCACTCTTTGCATATTCCCAAAACACCTACAAAATTCAATTAAAATCTGGTGCTTCTTTTAAAAAACAGGGGGATACATAAAGGGGTTATGGACATTTTAAAACGGCTTATTGGTTTTGGTATTTGTTAAACCTTAAATTACTTGCGGATAACCCCGTCACAAACAGAAATTGCTTAACATGATCTATCTAGCCGCCTGACAGGCAATGGATCTACCCAGAACCCCCTCCTCTGTCACTAGTAGTCACAAAGATTAAGGATAATCGCCTTATTGCCAAGTTGACCTTACAGGTTCGGAACACCATAACAACCTTTCAGAAGGTGTGGGACCTTTGGGAGCAGTATGCTGACAAAACAGGGGTATAGATTAACCGTTCCCTTAAGATTAATACAGTGATATGAGAATCACCAACACCCATAGTGCCCTGTTGTTTGTCTAAAACCTAACATCTTGCTTTTTTTTTTTTTAACATTTTATCTTATTTTAGCTTAGAAATTGAAATTAAATCCCAAACATATGTCAAGTGCATGGAGATCAACTAGCTGTACAACCCCACTGATGTCGCCTCCTTACGTCACGTATTAAGTCGCTCACATGCAATCATCTCAATGTACACTGCATGATGTTTGTATTTGTGTACTGGATTTTGTTATCTCTTTTTTCTAACATGACGGACAACCCCAACTTGACACATCGCTTGCATATCATGAGATTTTGTGTATCTTAAACTGAAAACTTTAAATGAATAGGGGTTGGTGACAAGAGGCACACACTGAAACTCAGGCCTGCCCACAAAATCCCACTGTAACACCTGTACATAGCAGTTCCACATATCACACCATCTCAGATTTCAGTGATACTAGCTGACATTGTATGTATTTGACGGTGAGCACTGGGACGAAATGTCTATCGCTCCCTAAAAACAGAATTTACGAAACGGTTACTATAACAGAGCGATGCTACGGATGGAGCCTGGGGGAAAGGGGGGTGTTCCCGGTTGGGGTCACGGCTCTTAGCCCATAAATGATGCCCTGAGCTGTGCACCTCACAGGTGGTGATCTTCGGCCTCTGTTTCAAGGGAGGCAGTGGGGCGGTTTTGATGGTGAGGCATATGACTTCACCCAGAAACATGTTCGAAACACAACTATGTTGTCTTCTTAAAGTTCTTTGTTACTTATGTTGCTTCATTGTTTCTCTTTTCACTATATAACATGAAACTTTGACAGATTGTAAATATGCCAAACACTATTGTATGACATGGCGTGTAACCTTTTATATACCACAACATTGTTCTCTGAACCGTGATTAAATTATTTGCAAAATCATTTTAGTGGAATATCTTTGAAATTAGTAACTTTACTCTTTTAGAAAGTCAGTTAACTCTTTGTAACAATTTTTTCTTTGTCATTTTCAGGAGGACAGAGGAATTGGGTGCAGGTTTTTTGTAATGGTGGTGTCCCTGCAGAACTGGCTCTACTCTACATGGTAGAAGTTGGTCCTGGTGAAATACCTATAGACTTTTCCAAAGAGTATACTGCTTCATGGATGTGTTTATCACTCTTGGGTGCTCTAGCATGTTCAGCTGGGGATACTTGGGCTTCCGAAATAGCACCTGTACTCAGCAAAAGTTCTCCACGTTTAATAACTACATGGGAGAAGGTTCCTACAGGTAACACTTGATTTGAATAGTTTTTTATTAGTAATTTGGTTTCTGTAATGTTACAACTAGATGAATAACTGTTAGAATTTGTAGACTTGGGAAAAAATTAATTTGGAGTGGGTTATCTACTTAAAATTATTTTTAATCCACACCCGAAATTTGAAAAACAATTAACACCTGATTAGTTAATGCAATATTTTTTGTCAAAAAATAAATAAATAAATAAAAAAAAAAAAAAATATATATATATATATATATGTATGTATTTTTTTTTATTTTTTATTATTATTATTTTTTTAGAGAACAAGAATTAAAGGAACACTATAGGGCAGGTGTAGGCAACATTTTAGCAGCACTGTGCTGGAATACGATTGTGATGTCCCGTAGTGTTCCGGTCCTATTTTTTTTTTTTTAATTGAGGTGTGTATATTGCCGTATTCTGCTTGTGTTATTTATACTGCTGTTGCTTTGTATCTTTATATTTGTGCATATATTAGCTGTTATATTGTATGTGTTCATGAGTGGTTTGTGGTATCGTGTATGATACCTATGAATGTGGGCTGTGTATGGGGGCTGCTTGTGGAGATGTGTGTGTGTGTGTGTGTGTGTGTATGGATATGTCACATGGTGTGTTTGGTAATGTGTGTATGCGGGTTGTTTGAGGTATTTTATGTGAGAGGCTGCATGTGGGGATGTGTGCATGTATGTTGATTGTTAGTGGTGTTGAGTTTGTGGGGATTGTGTGTATGTTTGTGTGTGGGCTGTTCATATTATTTGTATGAGGGGAGGGTTATTCTGCATTTCTGTGTATATCTAGCAGTGTGGGTGGCTTTCCTGGGTTCCAGTGGGGACCGTGCTGGCCATGCATAAATTGAGGATTGTCCTTCATCACTTTTCCTTATTAGCAGATATCTGAAGTTTCTCTGGGACTCCTGATAGGCCAGATCCTGTTTGGCTCTGGCAGCCTTGAGTGACAAAGACACCTAGAGTGCCGTGCATGGCACACGTGCCATAGGTTGCATACCCCTGCTATATGGTCAGGAACACAAACATATATTCCTTACCCTATAGTGTTAAAACCACCATTTAGATGGCTTGCCCCCCCTTAAAAGGTAATGAACTTTACCTTATTTCCAGCGATGCACGGCTGCGCTGCTCCCAATCTGCCTCCTTGCTGACATCATCAGAATTTATGATTTTAGCCAATCCAATGCTTTACCCTAGGGAAAGGAGGTGGGGCGTGGTCAGGGCCAAATGCTGGCTTGGCCAATCAGCACCTCCACATAGAGATGCATTGAAACAATGCATCTCCTTGAGGAAAGTTCAGCATCTCCATGCAGCACTGCCCCAGGACACACCTCTATTGGCCACCTGAGGTGTCCCTGGGGTCAATGTAAACACTGCCTTTTTTTTCTTTTGTGTTTACATGAAAATGCCTGTAGGGAATGATGATAGTCACCAGAACTACTACATTGAGCTGTAGTTGATCTGGTGACTCTAGTGTGCCCTTAAAAAAAGATGTTCTATCCTTTTGGAATTTGCCCTCAATATATTTTTAGTAATTGTGTATTTTTCCTTTTTTGTGGGCTTTTGAGGTTTTTGTTAATAAAGTTAGAGAAATACTATAAGCACCATAACCACTACAATGCGCTCTAGTGGTTGTGCTAGGAGCACTCTGGCGCACTACCGATTGTAATTTGTCAAACCATTTTAGAATGTTTTGACTTCATACCTACAGTCCATTGGGCGCCGCACCCTGCCTCCACTACGTCTGACGGAGACCTGGAAGCTCTATAAGCTAAGCCTGCTGGTGCAGGACTTACCATATTGGCTGAGATCAAATTACACTACAGGTTTGCTCCAGGACACTTCTGCCACCATAACCACTACAGCTCACTGTAGTTATCATGCTTGAAGTGTTCCTTTAACACACAACATCATGTTCCCCTTGCATAGGTTATGGTTCAATGAAGTTTAGGCACCCTTTTCCTAGTAACTTACAAATACAGAAACTTACAAAAATCATTTAAATAGTTTCCTTTTAAATTTAAGTTTAGAGATTAATAGAACGAGGTATTACCTTATGTGAATTGTGCTTCATAGAAAGTAATTTTTTTGTATGTCTTTGCTTTTTTTTTAGGCACAAATGGAGGTGTTACTCTGATCGGACTTTTAGCAAGCCTTCTTGGTGGCCTAAGTGTCGGTGTGGCATATTTTGTTACCCAGCTTCTGTTTGTGCATGATTTAGACATTGCAGCTCCACAGTGGCCCATTGTTATTTATGGAGCAGTGGCTGGCCTAGCTGGCTCAGTTATTGACTCATATATGGGAGCGATCATGCAATATTCAGGTATGTTTGTAGCTTCATTTTATTAACTATTTATTGAATAGTGCCACAAATAATGATCTTTTACAGAGCTCTTTGGTGCATAGATAAAGCATGGTGTAGTTTGAGGGTAGAGCCTGGGATTTATTTTTTCAAACTGAAGTGATTCCCACCCAATTCCTTCTGTTTAATAATCCTATCAGTTACTTATCCTTGATGGCCCTTTTCTCGACTACCTTAACCAGCAGTCCTGGCTCACCTCAGACTAAACACTATACACTTAATGTTTTGTCAAGCACACAGAAATAAGTCCTGCGCTCACACTCCCACTATTTCTGAGCAGCAGCAATGACTATACTACACATCAGCCCCAATATATACAATTAAAAAAAAAGGTTCTTTGCACTATCCCAGATCCATATGCACAGTTAAATAAATTGAGATTTTTTTTTTTGTTTCACTCTAATGGCCATCAAAGGATAAGCTCACCTGCCACATCAAGGCAAATTTACTGTGCTTTCTTAAGCTAAAGGGCAATATCTCTAATGAGACAGAGAGGGGTGTTTTTCTTATCCCCCACACACTTATTAACCATTAATAGGGAGAACATGGGGTGGGCGGTAGCACTATAACATACTGTGTAATACACAAGCAAATACAAACATACAAAATTAATCTCTGCCTTCAAACTCCCACTACTCCTGGGTGGCAGCAATGACTATAGTACACATCAGCCCCAATATATACAATGTTACAGATTAGAATGCAACATTCATAGTAAAGGGATTTATTCACTTAGATTTTAGGCCAAAGTATTAAAAATTGAAAAATATTCCAAGTCAGCTATTGTTTCTGGCTTGGTTATTTTGGTCTAAAAACTAAATCCACTTTGAATTCCCCAAAATCCCCACTTTTAGTTAGCCCTGAAAGAAACTCTTGGCTAAGATACATGAAAGCATGAAGAAAATATTATTCCATCCTCAAAGCTAAAACTCATATAACAGGAGTGTATTTCCAATTTTTTCTTTTTGGTCAGGTCACATTCTGTTGCTATGAGACAACCCTCATTCACATAAATGACAATACAAGCTCCAGTATGCGTTGGCCATTTGTGTTCAGAATCTCCCTTACATTTCTTCTATGAAGTCAGCTGCAGTACTGAAATGTGTACATTCTGAAAGTACATATACAGCCAGGGAGTGCATAGTTTCTGTCTGTGAACTATGTGAATGCTGGGCTGCAATGAAATTAGGAAATGCATTCCGTTATAAACAACTTCTTACCAGGACACAGTTACGGGGGACCTCTTTTCACTATGACCATAGCAAAGAGGTTTTTCTAATGCTTTAAATGTCCCATTAAGAGATTTCATTTTCACATTCATTCTCTCTCTCTCTCTCTCTCTCTCTCACACTCACACACACACTCTTTAATTATTCATATTGTAAAACATGTAAAGACTTAAAATATGCCTCACTCAGATGTATTTAAAGGAAAACACCAAGCAGCGTAACAACTTCAGCCTACGTTTTGACAACCCAGGTGAAGGATGTATCTGTAGAGCAAAGAGCATCTGATAGAGGTCTGTGCTTAATGAATGGAATTGCTCAGCTGAGCACTCAGCCAGGGAGTATACCTGTATGGTCCTGCTTTAATCTGCAGAGCAATCTGGCCTTTTCTGATGGAGAAAATCGTATGCAGAACTAAGCATAATCCAGAAAAACTGTAAAACGGTGCTAAAATGATTTAACATCTTTCTATGGGTCACCGTCATAGCACTCCTGACACCATAATCACTACAGCGGACTAGTGGTTTTATTGCCAAGGCTGTCCTTTACACACAGTATGTGATGGATGTAAAATATTGAGCAAACTATCTTATACTGCTGCTTTTTAAGTGATTTCTTTTTCTCTTTTAGGTTATGATGAAAATACAGGACAGATTGTCAATCATCCAACAAGGGACGCAAAACTAATTTCAGGAAAGCCTATCCTGGATAATAATGCAGTAAATCTGTTCTCATCCATATTTGTGGCTCTGATGCTTCCTGGTGTTGCGTGGAGTTTTTGGCCTAGAGTTTGAAATCCTGGTCAGGGAAAATTTTATAACTTCAGCTAAAGATAGAACTTGTTTAAAGACAACTATGTAGTTGCAGCGAGGGCATACTTATTTGGTTGTAAAACTGGCCAAAAATGAGAGAGAAAAATTGGCTTGGAACATGTATGAAAATGAAGTTCTATTCTAACTTAAAGAATGGTTAATAAAACTTGACATTGGCTCCAGTTAATATTAGAATGAAGGAAAGCAAAACCAGGTGTAGAACAGATAAATTACACAACACAAATTTGAGAAAAAAAAAGTTTAGAGATGTGATCTGAATGGATACCATTTACATTTTTAGCTTTAGTGTAGCACATGCTACACTATGAAGCCAAGAGGTCAGTCAGCTGGTATTTTGTCAGTTCAACACTGATGAACGCACTTTTAAAGATATCTCAAAAGGAGAAGGGAGTGATGTGTACATGATCATAAGACTGATTTTTCGGATATGTGAAGCTAAATTTAATAAGTAACATTCCTGTGCTCTTAGTTACTAGTTTATTAAATCATTCTCTGTTCTACTTCAGATTTCAAATTTTACAGTTATTTTATCCATATCCATATTTTTTTTTTCTTTGTTTTCTTGACGAGCTGATCTTCCAAATTGCTGTGCAGTCAAACTTTCAGGCGATGTAGCTGTGCAGTGGACTGCACGATTCACTCACTGTTCCTATCACACAGCACTGATTATTTTGATCTGATTAAGTGCTTACAATCAAGTAATTATGTGGTGTGAAAAAGTTGTTTTTTACTTATTCTTTTGTTACTTCTTCTTAATTGCAGGCAATTTGAAATTGGGAATTAAAGATAGATTATTTTGTGCTTTATTTACTAAAGAATGAGTTTCTTTGACCACTAAATAGAAAAGCAAATTCACTTCATGTGTTTTACTACTGGGCAATTCATTTTATTATAATCACATTGATATGTGATTACATCTCATGATTACATGAGAATTGGGGTAAACTACATCCTGCTTTGTAGTTCTCATTTTCATATTATTTACTTTATACGTGTTGCTATTAAACGGTTTGGTTTAGATTACTGTAATTCTCAATTACTTGACTTCAATGCTCCTCTAGTAGAATGTATTTTTTTTGTTTGTTTGTGAACTGTGATACTGTATGCTATTGAAACTTTGAAATCGCATTCTTAAACATTCCAAAAGGTATTCAAGAATTGTTTTAAAAGCAAACTAAAATTTAAAACCCCCTAAACATTGTATCTTTGCATACTGCACTTATGACATAAGTATTGTAAGTGGTTGTCTTTTTGGGTTATATTCCTGCTTTTCTAGAATGCTGGTGCGTACATGAAAAACTCAGGCATATTGTCTTCTATTGGATCATTGTTATGTTTTGATTTTTTTTTTTTTCAAGCAATTTTACAACACCTTAATTTTTATAGTGGACCACTAAAATAAAAATCTTTAGCTCGAAATTATGTACCGCGACTCTTTCACAAGATATACATAACTTTGATCTAATTACATAGGACTTTGATAGCTAGGACTTCAAACACCATACTAGGGCCTAGAGATTTTCTGATTATATGACGTCTGCCTCTTTAAATAAGAGATGTTTCTTTGGAATATTTCTTCATGCCATAGAATGAACCATGGATCATCTCAGATACTGCCTTGAAGGGTTGTAATGTGAAATGGTACTATTGCAGAAAGCATATTGACCCTGGACCACAACTACATGTATTGGTTTACAGGGATTACTATGAAATCAATGATAATTCAAATCAAATTCTAAACAGCCTGAGAATGTTTGAGGGTTTTTTTTGTTTGTTTTTTTAGAACAAGTGGTTTCAACTTATGCCCTCTTTTCTTTTTTTTTTCTTCTTTTTTTAATGCATTTCTAAACGCAGATATCATGATTTCCACTTCGGCATTATTGGCTATGTAGCTTAACTGCTGGAGAGCCACACACATCTGTATCTTTGACTGTTGTACATTGATAAATTAATTAACAAAAAAATAAAAATAAACGTTTGTACTTTTTATGTTGTGCCTTTTTAGAGCTGAAAACATGGGGATACATAAAGTTTTGGATAATAACGGTTTCATTTCTTGCTGTGCTTAGATATTATATTTAATAGAACGTAACTGCATGTGTTATCCCATTTGTATAAGATCACAATTTAATGGTTGGATTTATAAAATCTTATGTTTGAAGCTGCTTTTTAAATAAAATATTATATAAAATTTACCTTGTGTTGTACTTATTAGAGAGATAACCGATTTAGTAAATGCAAAAATGTTTGTGTCTTTCGAATCTGTGATCTATTTTAATATATTTGGAATATTTTAGTATCCTCAAACAAATAATATGGTGTTCTCTGACACTGGAAGTAAACTTAAATCCTGACAATTTATTGATTAGAGTTATGTACATGCTTTGTACCTTTTTGTATTTGTCTGTGTATATGGTATGTCCTTCCCTAACTGTACAGCACTGCGGAATCTGTTGACACTTTATAAATACCAGTAATAAATAAAATATACAAAGCACCATGTAATGCTGCCGATTCAAACTTCATTTATATAAAAAAAAAAAAAATCCTTAAAGGACCACTCTAGGCACCCAGACCACTTCAGCTTAATGAAGTGGTCTGGGTGCCAGGTCCAGCTAGGCTTGATAATGCTTTCCTATGTGACCGGCTGAATGCGCGCGCAGCTCTTGCCGCGCGTGCACATTCAGCCGCATGGGAGGAGAAGAGGAGGATCGGAGGAGGAGAGCTCCCCGCCCAGCGCTGGAAAAAGGTAAGTTTTTACCCCCTTCCAGAGCCGGGCGGGAGGGGGACCCTGAGGGTGGGGGCACACTCAGGGCACTATAGTGCCAGGAAAACAAGTATGTCCTTTAACAGTGGTCCTTTAACAGTGACGGGCAACCAAATTTTCTTAACTCTGTTTATTGGGTGAGGAATGGGTTTATTCACTTGTTTATGACACAATATAACTTTTTAGCAACCCTTGCTACATATTGATATCAACTGTAACATTGTCAGTGAGAGTTGTACTTCCTCCCCCCCTTCCACGTGACGATTGTTGGTTACAAACACTCATTATTGCACATTTTCTTTTCTTTTTTTATCTCCACTTAGCTTTTAAGTTTTTTTTGTTTTTTTTTAATCCTTTCTTCTGTGGGCATATATATATATATATATATATATATATATATATATATATATATATATATATATATATATATATATATATATATATATATATATATACATATATATATATATATATATATAGTTTTACTGTGTGTTTAGTAAATTATAAAAATGATAAAACTGAATATTTTTTAAATTGTTTCTTTTCTTTTTTTTTTAATTCTTTATTTTTTCATCTTGACAAAAGTAGCCAGGTAACATTAACATTACGGCTTATGCAAAAGCCCGATAAGTATCAAACAAGTTCAATTGTAGTTATACAGGTGCTAATGCGATGCTAAAACAGTGATTGTAGTAACGATATGCTGATTTGGCTACCTGCCAAGGGATTTTTTTTTTTTTTTTTGTAAAACTTTGTAAAACTTTGATTCTGCTCAATAGTCACAGCAGGATTACATAAACTTTTGGGCTTACGCAGAAGCCAACTTGAAAATAAATTTTGAAAACATATCGTAAGTCAGCCGATACAACATTGGCCCTTTCCTCGAAATAAGGAAACGTTAGTACCTGTCGTCTACAGAGGGCTTTATGTTTTCATACCCAACCCCCTTTTTGTTGGGTTAAATTCTTTAAGTTCTCTTTCGGGGAATTTAATTTTCACCATAAACAAAACAGGTGTATATACACTCTTGGGCTCACTAGGAAGCCAAAAGGAATTACATAGCTTGTAAAGAAAAGGTACGCAACCTGAACCTTGCATGCGCTTTTTGCTAGAAACCCTTAGGGCCCCCAGTCTATTAGGGTAAGTTATGTTTTAACCAAGGGCAGAAATTGTTTCTTTTCTATCTTCATTCTCCGGTTGGATTAGGTATTTCTTTTTCTGGCTCACCTTTATTTGGCTGCAAGATTTATTTGCAAAATGCTCAATTAAAGAGCAAGTAAAACATCTCAAATTTCGCTTCAGTAGGACCGTGGCTATTTCAGCGTAAAGTTTGCAAACTATTTTCACTACATTACAGTTTGGTGTTTAGTCCATTTTATTCAACAGAACCACTCGCCACCATTGTGTCTAAATCAATGTCATTCCCCAAACCAGTGCTCAGGGACCACCAACAGTCCAGGATTTATGTATTTCCCTGTTTTATTCCAATGGAGATACTGACAAAACCTGGACTGTTGGTCGTCCATGAGGACTGGTCTAGATAACATGGAGAGTAATCATGTGGGATTTATTAACCTGCACAAGAGAAAGCATAGGCAGTTATTGGATGTGATGGTGCAATATCAATGCCCATACAAAAAAAAAAAATAGTGTAATTGGATAGCTATGCTTCCGATCGTTAACTTTGCAGTCTGCTGATGAGGTAATAATTAACCAGTAGCTAATGGTGTTTCGGTCCTCTATACTGACACAAACAGGTTTTTGCTTTTAAGATTTATGCTTAATGTTCTAGTATCTCTACAAACAGGTTGGCCTACATTCTTCAAATCCCTTGTACTATATTGACTTAGCTTGCGTAATACAAAATTGTTGAGGCAAGTATTGCTTAACCGTTTCTTTACTGAATCCCAATAGCTGCAATGATATAATATACAAATAAAAAATAAATAAATAATCATACAGCGATATCCTCAACGAATCCTGACCTGGCACTCCCTTCTTTGCTGCTCCACAGTTCAGTTAAAAGGACACTATAGTCACCGGAACAGTTTTAGTTTTTTTTGTCTATTTTATTTTTAACCCTGCCTTTTCCAAGAAAAGGCAGTGTTTACATTGCTACCTATTAACACCTCTAGTAGCCCTTACTAAGCGACTAGAGGTGCTTCCTGAGTCAGTGCTGCACATTATGCAATACTGGCGGCCAGCGTTTACAAGCTTTGCATGGTGGTGCTGAACATTCCTCATAGATATGCATCTTTGTAAGAATATGCTGATTAGTGCACTGCGGCGTAATGCCTCTCTGCGATTTCCAACTGGATGGCTGCTCACTTCCTTAACCTCAACCTGTCCAAAACAGAACTTCTGGTCTTTCCTCCCTCAAGCGTTGCTACTCCCGTGTCTGCCTCCCTCCTAGTCAACGGTGCCACCATCACATCTACCTCGCAGGCATGCTGCCTAGGTGCTGTCTTTGACTTCGACCTCTCCTTCACCCCTCATGTCCAGTCGATCGTCAAATCCTGCTGCTTCCATCTCAAAAACATAACTCGTATCCGCCCCTATTTAACACCAGACGCGCCTAAGGTGCCGTTGTTCTTTCTCGCCTTGACTACTGCAATCCCCTTCTCAGTGGTCTTACGTGCTCCCAGATTGGACCGCTGCAATCTATAATGAATGAGGCTCATTTTCCTGTCCGTCCGCACCTCCCATGCCTCCCGTCTCTGTCAGTCCCTACATTGGCTTCCAGTTAGATATAGGGCTCAATTTAAGATTCTGGTGCTTGCTTACAAGTCCCTACATAATTCTGCTCCAACCTACCTATCCTCCCAAATACACAAGTATATCCTGTCGAGGCCCCTGTGTTCTGCCAAAGACCTACGTCTATCCTCTGTCCGTACTCCCACATCTGATGCACGCCTCCAAAACTTCTTCAGGGCTGCACCTTTTCTGTAGAACTCCCTTTCCTTCTCCGTTAGACTTTCATCCACTCCTTCAAAAAAAATTTGAAAACACACTTCTTTAGGAAAGCATATCATTTAAGCTGTTAGCGGGTTTTCATCCACTCCCTCCTCTCCCCTATGACTCCTCTCCAACAACTGTCAAAAATCATCTACTGAGTTCTCAGTGAATACTTTTCTAACAACCTGCTTCATACCCCTACTTTTACCATTTGTGTCACTATACCCCACTTCCTCTAGCATGTAAGCTCATTGAGTAGGGCCCTCAACCCCTCTGTTCCTGTGCGTCCATTTGTCTGGTTACAATTATGTGTCTGTTAGTTCACCCATTGTACAGCGCTACGGCATTTGCTGGCACTATATAAATAATAAAATAATTGCAGCGCGTGCGCATAATCCCCCCAATTAGCGCTCTTTTTATAAAATTATGATTTTACTATTTCATGATGGAAAGTCAGTATTTTATAAAAGACACGGAGGTGAGTATTGTCCCTCCTGGCGGTTAGCTTTTCACACTTTTAATTTTTTTCAATGTGTGTATTATTTCTTTGCTGTTATTGTGGTTCAGTAAAGAAAGGGTTAAGTAATAATCACATCCATGCCTTTTATAAAATCATGATTTTCTGTCATGAAATAGTAAAATCAAGTAATTGTGTGCTTTGTATTATATTATTTATATAGCGCCAGCAAATTCCGTAGCGCTGTACAATGGTATCTCACGCCTACAAGTTTCCCATACTTTCAGGGTTCTCACTAACCCAGACATTGTCAGATGTGGAATGCCACATTGTATGCCAAAATAGCTGAAATACGGATGAGGGCGTGGCCGACAGCCAGACGAGATGGCCGCATGTTAGCTCGGCTCCGGCAAAGCAGGCACGTAATTCCGCTGGAACCCGAGCAGAAGCCACAATGGGGAATCCAAAGGCCTTCTCCTTGACGCGGAGAAGGCCTTTGATAGGGTGCAGTGGCCCTACTTGTTTGGCCTCATGGAAGAATGGGGCTTCCCAGAAGCTTACATCCAGGCCACACGAGCCCTGTACACTAACTTACCCCAGACCCTAATTACAGGAGCCCCCAAGGACCCCTTTACAATGGAACACGCCAGGGCTTTCCACTGTCCCTGTTGCTATTTGCCATCTCCCTAGAACCGCTTCTACAAGCCATACGCCAACACCCACACATACAGGGAATAACAATAGCAAGAAAAACCTTCAAAGTATCTGCGTATGCTGACGACGTGCTCCTGACTCTCACGGACCCCCTGAACTCTATGGACCACTTGAAACGCCTCTTAGATGCATACGGAGCCCTATCAGGCTACAGGGTTAACCTCACTAAGTCCATGGCACTGCCATTTTACCTTCTGGCTCAAGACAGGGCATTAATATATGACAGTTACCACCTGCCAACCACCACAGACAATATACCATATCTAGGGGTCAGACTCAGAGTGCAGCACGAACAATTGCATGAGACCAACTACTCCCCACTAATTCGTACGCTCTTGAGGGACCTGGAGCTATGGACAGACAAACCCATTTCAAGGCTAGGCAGACTCCAGATTGCTGTTTATGTTCCAGGCACAACCCACACCAATTAAGATAAACGACCTATCTACGCTCCAAAAAGCGATAGACATGTTCATTTGGCAAAATAAGCGCCCCAGAATAGCTAGGAAACTACTGTATCGACCTAAAGACAGGGGGGGACTGGGGCTACCGAACATGTACTTATACTACCTGGCAACACAGACCGCACAAATTGCATATTGGCA